GTGAGTGCGTGCTGCCGCCGCCGCCACTGTAGATTAGAGAGCTTCCGTGCCGGTGCTTTGACGCTGCTCCTGCTGCTGCTGGTGGCGGCGGCGCAAGCGTCGAGTATGATTGGTGCGAGTGGCTGGGCAGGGATGCAGGCATGTTGGCGCCACTGTTACTGTACGGCATGTCACGCGCGCCGGAGCCTGACGGCCGCAGGCTGCCCCTAATCGACGAACCTGCCGACACCAGCGCCGCCACTAGCGCCATAACGGGGCTTGACCGTACGTCATTGGTGTCCTGCAACAGCTGCTTGTCACCGCTGCCAGCGACAGCGGCCGCGGCGCTGCCACCGTTTTGAACAACGCCGGCGTTACCGCCAGGCATCTGAGCCTGGACTCCCTCCTGCGGCTGCAGCTGCGGTACGACATTGGCTGCTGCGGCGGCGGCGCTACGGGAGGATCCGATTGCCTGCAGGGCGCATTCGGAAGAGGGCGGACCCAAGACGCTGAAAGTCCCGGGGATACCACCGCCGGCACCGCTGCCGCCAACCTCCTCGTCGAGCCGTCGCCGCAACAGTCGACTTCGGCGCAACAGCAGGATGACGAGAAGGAGCACTGCCGCGCCTGCGGACCCACGGGACACAGTGTGACGTGGAACACGGAACGACACGAGGCACGGCACGACATCACACGAGCACATGGCACCACACGACACGACACGGCGCGCCCGCACACCTCCCGCCACGCAGCCGCCTATGATGCCCGCCTGCGCTCCGGAGCTGAGGCCCCCGTGTGCGGATTCCGATGAGGAACCAGAAGGCCCGGATGAGGATTCCACCACATTTGTCCGCTTCGACATGAGCTCCTGTAGCAGCAGCAACAACAATCACAGCAGCAGCGGGAGGATCGGCGGCGGCGGGCGGTGGGCGAGGTGTTGTCGGCTGAAGGAAGCTGCGCCCAGACGGGAACATACATACATACATACATATATACACTCACGCCTACATAAAGAAAAACACTGTTGCAGCACAGTGAAACCCACCCCACCTCAATCGCATTCATGTAGCAGAGGTCGCTGCCAAGAGTCTGGATGCATTCCTGCAGAGAGAAGGTGCAGACATATATGCGCATAAGAACACGAATATGACGATGGTAGATATACGGTAGCGCTGTTTCCTTCCTCCTTGCACATTCTCACACACACATACACATGCGCACAGCCCACAAAGCAATGGATGACGGCACAACAGTAAACAAGGGATAGGATACTAGGCAGCAGAGGCAAACAATACGTAGACCAGCAGGCAGGCAGACAGACAAACAGGCAAAACAGTCAACCACCTGTCTCTTTCCTAGCAATACTTCCGTTGCCGCGCCTGTTGGCCTCCAACCCACCATCACCCACCGCGGAGATGAACTGCTCGCACACGACCAGTGTATCATTCAGCTGGAGTCTATACCCTGCTGCAGGCAGACAGACAAAGTGCCATGAAGAAGCGAGACCCCATAAGCGACGGTATGCATGGTGAGCATTGGCTGAAACGCGCGGTTGGGGTGCGGAATGACGGTACAAACCGTGTGAAAGCTCTACGAGAAGGGAATTAGAAGTACATGCCTTCTAATTACTTACCCCCAAGGCATGCTGACTCACTCACGGGGCTGCCCACGACCCTGCCATTCGTGGCGCTGACAACAGTCCCCCGCAAAGCAGCCGCCCGATAAAAACCTTCCTCGACAGCCCTGCTGTGTCCTTACTGGAGTGTGTACCTATGGCGTGTCCCCATTGCCTCTGTAAGGAGGAATCTTGCTTCTATGAGCAATGCGCGATCTGGGTCGTATCAAAATGATGATCAGTTTGATCAGTTTTGCAATTCGCCTTCCGAGGACCAAGCCCAATACCGGGAACCCAAAGAGCCCAACTGACCCGCGGGACTGTCCACCACCGCTTCCACAATCCGCAATACAGGAGTTGAATAGCATCCCTGAACGCCGAAACAGCTAGTCCCATCCACTATCTCCATTTGCTGTTGCTGCTCCTGCTGCTGTTGAGATCCCAAGCCCGCCTTACTCCACGCATTCCGGATCTCCTGTATGTGAGGAAGATGAAGGTGAGGAGGAAGGGAGGATGGATGGCGATGATGGGCCTGGTCCTGGTCGACACCAGGACTTCCTAAGTTGCAACAATGGGTAATGTAATGGGAATCGTGGTTTCAATATATATAGTCCATGGCCTCCCGGCTTTGACGGAACCCCCCGCACTCGTGCGGCGCTTGTAACTTGTAATGGGAATCGTGGTATGATGGTGACAGGCAGACATGAAAGTAATGGCACGCAGGCTGCGCAGCACTTGGTTAACAAGGTGCGACAGACACACAGCAGACGGGGGGCCGCGCGCTGCGCTGGCTCTGGCTGTGGCGCTTGTTAGTTTGGTACTACACGGCGAGGTGCTCGCGGTCGCAGCGACGGCAGTGGTGAGGATTTGCTGTGGACAGGCCATCTGTGTCTCTTGTGTTATGAACCTATTAACTCCTACGCCTAGAAGCGTAACTACCTGCAGTGGCCTGCAGATGCTCCTTCGGTCCACCACCCCCTCCCAGACGATAGAGGAGGACGTGGAGGATGGAGCGAAAAAGTCCAGAGCCAACTGGCTGCGAGAAAAGATGTTGACCAGGATCAGGCCGCGGAAGGTGAGAGTGACGCCGGGGCCTAGCTGGACCTTGAGATCGTTGCGACAGGAGGGGAGCAGGGTGGAGGACGCGGATGAGGAGCAGCGCGCAGGTTCATGGACTGGACATTATGGGGCGTGGCCCGGAGTGGAGATAAGCGGGGATGGGGACATGGAAAATGGACGGCAGGTTCTAGTTAGGGCCGTCACCGCACTTTGTAAGGTTCCCATAAGATGGCGTGGCAAACGGGTTACGTTGTAATTGGTACAAGACGGGTTCGGTCAACGACGCTGTGGCCCACCCAATCGTTCGTGACGTAGTTGAAGTCCAGGCGGAGATAAGAGCTGCCTGGTGTCCCGTCGACGACGCAGTTGCGTCCGAGCAGTAAGGGCCATGACCCAAAGCCCCTTGCGGCGCTGACCTGTATACTGTTGGCAAGTCGAATGTGCGTCACAGTTACATCTACGAAAGCTGCATAAAAGGCTGCTGTATCCGATACGACGCGAGGCTGAGGGAGAGCTGCTGTTGCAGCAATAAAAAGCAATATAAGGCCGCCTGGTCGCAGACGCCACAAAGGAGAGCTCCGATACACCGTTGTTCCGCATACCGAAACCCTCCAATCCATGGCATTCCCATCACCTCACCCAAAATATAATGAGCATAAGCATAACAGTCATATATGTCTACAAATTGAATGGACTACTCCCAGGCTATCAAGCGAAGTTACAGACATTCCAACCTTACAAATGCGCACAGAGCAATACCAGCAGCAACCCTTCATACAGAGGGCAATGGATTTCCTACTAAATCGTTATGAAATTTGCCAGCTGCAAGTCTCCAGTGCGGCAACGGCTTGTACGGAATATTTCAAACGCTGAGAGTTTGACTGTATGGGTTCTGACATTAGCTGTATGCAATTCTTAACAGATTTCGCATATAGAAAACTGTGTGACAGGGTGGTGTCTTATTGCGTGCCGCCTTTTGCGTTCCGTTTCTATTACTTTCCCGACCCGGCCACACATCCCAACCCTACAATTTATTTCCTCTTAACTGTCGCCTCCAGCGTACCCGTCTACGAAATTCGTGTCGGCCAGGGCCCCTATTACATACTAACATACTAATTAACAGACTACCTAACGCCCTAGCCCAGTTCCCTCCTGGCAGTAATTACTTCTGCGGCTGGTGCTGCGGCTGCGGCTGGGGTTGCTGTGGCTGGGTTGAGGCTGCGGCTGAGGCCGGACCACTTCGTTGATGCAGATCTTCTTTCTCCTAACCTCCGTTATATCCCTCTTGTAGGAGTAGAGGACGGGCTCTGGACTTTGCAGGTTGGGCGAATATCCCTACGTGAATGCCCCCGCTCAGCGCCGTGCTAGGGTAGGGACCCAGGTAGGGGGCCACCTACATCCGTCTGCGTGTATGCCTACTCCACACGTAGCTTAGTAGGTAGGCTCTTAGTAGGCTAAACTGACGGCTGCCCCGCGCGGCGTACGCTTGGCGGTCAGGAGCGGGAGACAAACCCGTGGGTCGTTTATCCTCTTCCTCCTCCGTTGACCCGCATTGAACTTCGCTGTCGATTCACCTCGATACCACCTGTAAACCGCACCGCAGGCTGCATATCGCAAAATCCGTTCACATGGTTCGTGCAGCCTCACACAGCATCAGGGCGGTGGGCCAGGCGGCCTCATGTCGGAAAGATGCTCCCAAAGAATAAAGGGAAATTGCTGCTTGCTGTGCTCGGACGGAAGTTCTTTCTCATCGGCGGCCCCTTGTCTTTCAACCACCTCTCTTCTTTTCTCTCCTTTTCCCCCTTAAACTGGACTTCAAACAACACATTTACACACATACATACATACGTACATACATACAAGCACCCATAGACGTCACCTCCAAAAGGGTCACGAGGTTATCCCCCTCAGGGCGTCAGGAGAAAGCCCTGCTCCAGTCCACCTACAGCGTCCATAGCGCTCACATACACACATACACACACATGTCCGCGAACATCGTCACCGTTGCACACCATGCCATCATCCCCACCACCAACACGCACTAGCACCACTGAGTGGCCTTTTCCGTACACGGCGACTCCTTGACTCCCAGCCCTTCATTAGTAAGGGAAGGGCAACCCATGAACATGATCCTGACGGATACCATCCCCGCCACCACCAACTTGTGCTGTGCCCCGTCCCCCTACCCCGCCCCCCCCCTACCCCGTCCCCCCCCTATCCCCGGCAGTCCCACGCGACACCTGACTCCCGCCGCGTCCAGTCCCCTGACACAGCTCCCCATCTCCTTCAGCGGCCCCCGCCCCTCCTCCCCATTCCCCGACATCACCGTCACCCCCCCCACGATTCATCATCTGCTGAAAAGGTAAAGCAGTGTATTCGCCAGTTCCGGCCAGCTGATCAACATATCGCCACTCGGCGTCGCTGCGGCCGCAGATGCCGCTGTAGCAGAGGAGCTCGTAGTTGCGGCGGTGGCCGGGGAGGTGGTGGCGGCGGCGGCGGTCGCCCACTCCGGCACCAACAGCCCGTCGGGCCGGAATGCCGCAGGTAGGCCACTTCCGCCGCTGCCGCCGCCAACCAGTGCCGGCGGTCGTGCCGTACCGGCAGCGGCGGCCCTACAATGCGCCTTCATGAACGCCGGCGACAGTACGGCACCCAGGTCCTCCTCCGATACGTCCCAGCCGCTGCCGGGCTGCGACGCCGCCGCGATGATGGCCTGCCGTACAGTCGACAGTGCCGTACGGGGCCCCGCGACGCCGGCGGCGGAGATGCTGGCGGCGGTCGCTGGCTCCGGAGCGAGCGCAAAGAAAATTCGTTTCGCTTCCACAATATGGTTTCGGAACGCTTGGGCAACACGAAGTACCTGGTCCTCAGACCGTAGGAACTGCATCAACTCGTCGTACGTAACGCCCAATCGACCGCTATCATCTGCCGTACGACCTGCAGTCGCCGTACCTAGCAGCCGCTCGTGGTGCAGCACCTGGAGGGTACAAAAACAGAATGCCGATGGGAAACGCCACACACACACACACACACACACACCCGCAACCATCAGGACGGCACTTGCATGCTGCGACAGTTGAAGGCCCCCCAACGGCCCCTTCCAACGTGCTGATGTGTGCCGACCCAGATTAGTCAACCAACTACCAACCAACCTGGTCACTCTTTAACACCCAGAAAAGCGTGCGAGAGGGCAGTACCGCGTGCGAGAAACATTTTACATTACAGTCATGAGAGAAACATTTAACTTTGCAGTGTTGTAGTTGGTAGTTGGTAATTGCACAAGGGCGGATCTGAAAACACGCCGTGAAGCCGCTTTCCAGCGTTGCAGGTCCCTAAGAGCATAAGCTCGAAGTGTGGCAGCTCATACACATACACATACACAGCATAAACCCACCGTCCCCTGGCCTCACCACCACCCCACCGTCCCCTGGCCTCACCTCGTCCAGGGCGTCCGCTGTGAAGCCCCACTCCGCAGTTACCTCCCCCAGGGCCTCACGCAACGCGGATAGGGGCACCCGGCCGTCCGGGGGGGGAACGGTGAGCGGTGTGACGCAGCGACTGCGACCGCCGCCGCCGTCGTTGACACCCCTGGCCCCGGGGGCCCCTGCGGTCGACACGCTGGCGGGCCGGCTACTGCTGTTGCTACTGCCGTCGCGTGCTAGCAGGCTGTAGCACAAGGCCCGTAGCTCGGGGCCGTGCTGTCGGAGCGCCTGTCTCAGAACGGGGAGGAGAAGGGAGGGTTTAGGGTTTACCACCTTACCCCTCTCCCATCTCACTTGCCCTTTTGCCAACTCCACCTAGCCAACTCCACCTTTCCCCCCACACACACATTGTAGTCAGGCATCAGGCTGTGACGACTCACATCACATCACAACACCTACAATATCCCCCGCATCTCCTCATCGAGCTATCCGCACCCAGTCACCGAATCACTCCCCCGCCTCCGGGTTGACTCCGTACCCGCACAATCTCCACTGGTAGCGACCGCCGCGCAGCCCGGTTAGCAGCCAGCGCCTCCAGCAGCGGGCCCCCGTCCTCGCACGGGGAGGGGCCCAGCGTGTCGTGGTGGGTGCGACTGGGCCGCCGGGGAAGCAAGTACGTGGACCCAATACCCAGCTGCGGCGCACACAAGAACAAGAAGAAGAACAAGACATGGAAGACAGCACAGAAGAACAGAAATGTACGAGCTTACCGCCATCTTACCGTTTTAGGGACTTCATGCGCAATGCTTCCACTTCTATAATCTTATACACACTTCGACAAGCAATATACTTGCACGCACAAACATTAAAAGCGCACAAATACCACAAAAAATGACGTACAAAAAGGTGCATGTTTGGGCGGCATTCAGTTACTCTATAGTTGTACGAAGGACACACACGCGCGCACGCAAGCGCAGACGTACGGCGGGAGCTACAGACGCCACAGGTCATCGGGACCCCCTCCAGCCGGCCCCCCCCGCCCGCTGTCCCACCTCCACGATCCGCGAGTTGCTCCTGAGCAGCCGAGTCAGCGCCAGTCCGCCTCTGTCCGCAATCAGGTTGTTGGTCAAGTCCAGGGAGGTCAAGTTGGGGTGACCCTGGGGGGAAAGGGGGAGGAGGGGGAGAAGGACAGCGGGGGGGGGGGGAGGGGATGGAATGTGGGTGCAGAGGGGGCGGGAAAATGGAAAAAGGTACTGGCGCTGAAGCTTCGCGGGTTAGGAAACACCTGGTCCCTTCTCCTCTCGTCCTCTGGTTCAGCGCCCCGGCCACGCAAGAGAGCCAACCCCCAGCTCCATCGAGAGACCAAGAACGTCTTCGCCGTGTCTGGAGAAGGCTGCAGCCGTTCCCTCCCGCTCCCCCCTTACACCCAGCCCCACGCATACACATACACACACACCCCAAACCCCCAACACACGGGGCCGCACATACGTAAGTACGTATATACATACATACATACCTGCGCCATTGATCCGCTAGATTTGGTTGGATGCTGGTGGTGAGCTGCTGAACCCAACGAATACATTCTGAAGTCGGATGGGTTGAATGGATTAGGGTGCCCCTCTCGCAGGGGAGAGCAGGGAACTGCCTCCAAGGGAAAGGGGGCCGCTGGTGAAGCTATACCACCCTTTAACAACATACATACATACCAGCAGCCAGTCTGCCAATGTCTCCACCGCACTGCAGCCCAGCCCGCTATGAGCGAGGCTGAGGGACGTGAAGGAGGAGTCGAAACCGAGGGCGTCCAAAACAGGCAACAGCCCACGCGGGCCGAGGTAACACCGAGAGAAGTCGTACCCGTACGGCTCCCTGGCAGTACAGAGGCAATGGCAAAGTTTTAGTGGTTTAGTGTTGGTGCGTTAGGAAGATCTGGCCACGCGTCAAGCAACGCACATACGATATGACATATACACACATATTATACAACCATACACATATACATACATAAGTATACATATACATGCATACATATATACACCCATACATATATGTATGTAGACGTTATGTACATACAAATGCATACATATCTAAAGTGTAGTAGCTGTCCAGCCGCCGAAAAGGCCTCTCCAGATGCCGGGACCGCGCTCTTGCACACATGTGTGTATTAACAATGTGTGCCGCGCTGTACGGCAGGTACTACACTTCGACCAGACCATTAATGCTGATAGCGCTGTGCCCCCAAACGGACCAGCAGCCAAGTACGAGGTCTCCCTCCGTCCATCCCCCCTCCTGTCCCCCCCTTCCGTCCCGCAAACCCCGACAGCCGCACCGGATTTTAGAATCCAACATGGCGTTGATCGCAATCTCCATCTTATCCCGTACAAGTCCAGGGGAGCTGCCGGGGGGTGCCAAGTCGGGGGCCAAACCCACGAGCACCTCCACGAACTCGGAGCGGCTCACCTGGGCTCACCGGATGAGGGCCGCGGGTGAAGGGGGTGAAGGGGATGGAGGGGATGAAGGGGGTGGGGACACACCCGGAGCAAGGAGGGTAAGGGAGTGTATATACACATGTATTCGTGTATGTGTGTGTGTGTGTTTAGATCATCTGACAGGGCCGCCGGCGCTAGCCCAGGTACGGCAATTACCAAACCGTGACGCAGGCCGCGAGCAGCACCCAGGAGAGTTCCCGCTCCACCCCCCCCGCTCCAACCCCCCTCGCTCCACCCCCCGACCCTCCCCCCGACCCCTGCCTACCGGGTCGGCGCTCATTCGCGCCATACAGGGATACCTCTCCATGAGGCCGTACATGTCCGCCGCAGCTGCCGGGCTGAAGGCACACACTGCCGTACGCAGCTCGGAGGCGGGGATGCTGCCCTGCGGTGTTTAAAATACCAACCACAATCTGTCAACAACAACAACAACAACAGAACAACTACACAGCCAAGCACTTTCAGTGATGTCCACCCCCTGGTGCTTTCGCAATTGGCATTGGTATTGGAGCTCAAGGGCTTGTAAATAATCTGGTAAATACCATAATTAATATAATAAAGAAACCTATAAATATTGGCGATGTTGTTGAAATTCAAGGCACTATTGGCCCCTGCCAATAGTACGATATACGATGTACGACATTGCTAAGAACGATTGGCGAGAAAATTAGAGTTCGGACCTACCTAGGTTGTCGAAGTCATTCGGAGATGCATCATTTCCCCTTTCCCCCTCGTTCCTTCTTCACTTCTCATCTCTCCCCCCCAACACACACATACACACACACACACTCACACACACACACACACTCACACACACACACACACACACACACACACTCACACACACACACACACTCACACACACACACTCACACACACACACACCGTCCGCACCGTCCCTACCTGGCCCAACACGTCCAGGTAGTCGAACAGCGCACCCGCCAGCCCCTCCTCGTCCAGAGTGCCATGACCCACGGGTCGCGACAGCACCTCCAGAGCCGCCTGGCGAAGCTCCCCTAATGAGGCTGTAGCAGCTGCTGCCTCCAAAAGGCGGGAAAAGTCCGTCTCACTCACCACCCGGCAGTCGGGGGCAATGCCCACTGAGGCGAGCTGCTGCTCCCACGGGGCCCTGAGGCGGGTAGGGAAGAGCGCGTGTGTCGTGTGTGTATGTCAGTGCGTGTGTCGTGTGTGTATGTCACTGCGTGTGTCGTGTGTGTATGTCAGTGCGTGTGTCGTGGGTTGCTGTTTTACAGTTTTATGAACATTTGGGTTTTTGAAGGGAAAAAGATAAACGCAACGGCGCAGGAGGATGGATCGAAGGAGGAGGACGGCTGTGAAGCTATCTTGGTACAGAGGTGCCGGGGTTAGGAGCGGCGGCGGCGGCGGCGGCGGCGGAAGTGGTGCCGCACGCACCTGTGTCTGACTCTACCCCCTGAACCCCGCATCATTCGAACAGCCACCTCCTCCTCCCCCTCGCTAACGGTCAGGAGTGCTCATACAGCCCCCGGGCGGGGGGGGGGCCCAACCGCAAGGGATCAGCGGATCAGCTACAAAAGCCTTTTGCGAGCTCCGAGCCGCGGAAGGCGAAAAGCAAGTACTAACTACTTGCGGAAAACTGGCCATCATATATGCAGCTCATGCAGAGGGCCGTTCTGACAGGTTTCAGGTGGAACAGGTTGTGACGGAAGGATGTGACGGTAGCGGTTGACGTAGCAGCCAACGGACAAACTGATATAACCGACACCGCAGCGGTTGATTGACATGAAACGAGCCAAGGAGCCAACGCGAAATCGTGTGAGTTGTTTAGACACCCCTCACATCTCCCCCCCCTCCCCTCCCCCTCTACCCCACCCACCCACCTGGGGTCCACCAGCTGACACACGTGCGCCACCGCCCTGGCGGAGTACAACGGACCACCGGACTCAGCCAATGCCATCGCCAGCTCCGCCGCGCGAACCGTTTCGGCGTGATTACGGGTACTGCTGCTACTGGGCGCATTGCCGCCGTGGAGGTTAGCGCCGCCGCCGCCAACCCCCCGCGCCGCCTCAGCACCTGGCGACGGTGGCGCCAAGGTCAGCGGATAAACGTGTCCTTGAATCAGGTCCCGGAGCTCTTGCGAGGTTTGATTTGCGGCTGCTACAGCCATATGGCTAGAGATTGCAGATAAGGGCTGGCTGCTGTGGCTGTAGCTTAATCCGCTGGGGTTGTAGCTGGGCATGAGGGCGCTGTGGCTGGGGGAGGGGCTGGGGCCGAAGCTGGCGTTAGGACTGGGGCTACGGCCGGGGGGTTGGTTGCGAGGCGGGATGGCGGTGAGGGCCGATGGGGAGGAGAGGATGCCGGCGACGGAGGTGTTGGAGAAAGGCGAGGGGGAGCGGGAGGGAGGCGCGGGGAGCTGCTCGGGAGGTATGACACGTTGCCAGGGCCCGGGTTGCATCATTCGGACGCGGCGTTGTAGCTGCGGACATTGGGGAGAGGAGGGGGGGAGGGGGGAAGGGGAGAGGGGGAGAGGTGCCAAACGTCGGGAGAACGGAAGGACCTCCCTGGTTTAATGAATAAATGAAATCTGCAAAACCCAGATCAGGATAGTTTCTAGTATCTTTGCCCCGTGCTTACAAGGCGCAATCCCATTCAAGGATATGCGGATAAGGCAGATACCGGCTCGTGCAATGCCCGCACTCATGTTCCTTTTATATAGATGTATCGCGTCAAATGAGTTGCATAATGGCATGTTATGGCTTCGCTTGCCGTGGGTTCGGCTGAAGCACCTACCTGCGCAATGACAGCGCTGTTGGCTGGGACCTTGTGCCGTTCACAAGCCTCTAGGTACACCACGACCAGGTTACCGGGCGGCGTGTTCCATCTGCAAAGTTGACATGTATCACATGTCGGGACTACATTGAATATGGTGTGTTGCCATAAGCCTCAAGCGCGTGAACTCAGCTCTGCTCAGACGCATTACTAGTCCACATGTTGCCTTGGGCCTCTAATCCTTCAGGTATACGTGTGAGCCGAGACCTTACCCGGGTGACTTGTATCTTTCCCGGGCATAGACCTTGCTTCGGGAAGCCGGCGCTTCAGGCATCGCATCGTCCGGCGCAAGTTCGAGGTCCATGATTATGCAACCTCTATATTTGCAGATAATAATTATTTATTCGAAGTATTTTTCATTTCTTATGCTAACAGCCAAATTGCTTGCAGCAGAGTGGTAATGTTCACGCCTAGGGAGGTTACTGTTACAGTAAGTTAACGAACTGTGCTTTCACATACAAGCTTCTTGACATTATCACAAGTCCTTACACATGCTCGATGTTTGCTGTCGAGTGTTTGGTTTGGCATAACTGTCCAGATCGTACTCGAATACGGAACAAAGAAACAGACGACGAAAGACAAATATCCCACACCATGTTACATCGTCCGAAATTCTTATATCCCATATCTCGCGATTTACTCATTATCTCTCACCACACCGGTGAACTGTAACGGTGATCAGCTGAGCAAAAGATCTCGTCTTCATGCAGCTCATGTTCAGTACCTATATCCACATCACTCACACCCATTACCATCTATCCTATCAGGTAACATTTCCCCGACAGGACCTTGTCTCGCAACAATTCCATCCTAACCGTCAACACAACCACTTTCCCATGTGAAGCTACGCGCTGCCATCGACTCGCATGCCGCGCGACTCGCATGACTGCTCTCTGGTCTTAAAAAGGAACCGACGCCTTGAGCTTTCCTGCAAAAGTCTGTTCCGGTTAGCACAAGCAACTGCAGCAAACAAGCTCACCTTCCCGGTAGGAAGATTCCAAAAAACTGGAATCAATTAAGTGTAAAATCCACTGAATGACTAACAGGTGCCGCCTCCCTGCTCCGCACAAGTGCTATGAACGTATCGCCGTGCCAAATGCAGGAATCCTCACCCCGCTTTTGACCAACCCCACCTCAAATTCCGAGAAAGCATGCCTATCAGCAGCCGCTCCAGCCTTCCCCCTTAATTCTTAGTCTATGCACACATTCCACCTATCTTTTTACCCATACAGGCATACTGCTTGGTGTATATCATCTTACAACACAACAAACCTCCGCCGACAATTACACGCTGTAACTACGTTCTTCCCCTTCAGAAAAGTTCATAAAGAGATACCCACCTGGGATCCGCGGGTGGTGGGGAAACGCCGAAAGACGGGGATCGCCGACGGACGACCGATACGCAGCCTCATGGCTGTCCCGCTCGTAGCGTTGTTCATCGCTCCCATTCGAACTTCATCATTCTTCATCTCCTCCATGGCGCAGCACACCGACTTATGACCTGCGATTGCGTTACATGCATACATCATGCACCAGTTAAATCAACACATACCACTACCATACAATCACGTCGTCGTCACCTTCTGTGTGCCGTCCGCTATAAGTAAGGCTCACGGTGAAGTCACGGGGAATTACAAGGATAATTCTTTCCCTTCTCTAATCGACGAAGCAACAAGCAAGACGTTATAACACAGATTACGGCAGCTAAGGCGATGTATGATACATCCTTGTAAGAGAAAAGATTCTAAAGGAATATTCGAAACCCGGGAAACATCAGATACAATACCTTTCCCAAACTATACCTTATCATCACAAATCTCACTAAAAATACGTTCACCACACCAACGAAACACACGAACTAAACACCTACCTGCCGTTCTGTGCTCCCTGCCTCTTCCCCATCGAACGCGTGTGGGGAAGAACAGCGTCTTGGGGTTCGAGACAGCGCAATCGGGGTCAGGTCCGCCAGCCACAGGTCCGGCCCCCCCAGAAGAGGTCTCCGAAAGATTCTGGCTCTCCAGCTTCAAGGAAGCTAGTGTATGGACATATCGCCGCTGCGCGTGACAGCGGCAACTAGACTGGGGCCAATGGCTCCCAACGCGTCTCAACACGTGAGCGCGCACGGACGGCCTGCCCTGTTGGTCAGGTAGGACGTCCGGCTGGGCCGTTCTACGGCTCAGCACTCCGCGCCCCCGAGGGGGCGCAAGGCTCCGAACTCTTAGTTCGGGTTGTACAGAATCACCCATTCCCTGCCTCGCTGCATCTCCGACTGGCGGGTTACATACATATATGAGAAACAGGCGCACACAGACACGTCCACGGAGACAGCCGCGGTTGGCGGCGGCGACCGGGCTGGCGGTTAGTTCTTATACACCGCACCGGATGATCTCCCGGATGATCAAGTCCCGTGTAATGGTTGGGGCGCATGTCTGAGAGATACATATGTACAGCTGCTCCGGACTTGAGAGCAGTGTAGAGCTCCACTCAGTCGGGGGCAGCGGAGGCAGGCCTTAGGTGCCTAGCTTTCGGAGAACCTCTGGCGAGGGGCAGTCGACGAAGTGGTGACGGAAAGCCCGGGTGCTGCTGTCGGAAGAGGCGGTTGTGAAGTCCGTTGGGTGGTTGGGTTGCGCCCTCCAGGAGTAGCGGCGGCCGCCCTGTGGCAAGGGAAAAAAGATCAGCAGAGCAAAGAGCCGACCCGGTCGAAAGCTTGCTTGTAGGCTCGGTTAAGAAGCTGAGCGTTGGGCGTCGAGGAGGTTATGATATGATAACATTTGCGCAACGGTGCAAACCATGCGCGCATGGAACAACCGAAACAGCTATAGCGGATCAAGACTTCTGGTGACAACGAACAGACGACGCAAAGCGCCATACACCAAGCCAACTACAATACGTTGGACGTGCTCGGTCGGACGCGCAACAACACATCGAAGTGTCTAATTGGATAAATCATAGCAGGAGCAGGGAGGCGGCTGTAACTTTCAGAGATGAGATTCGAATGAAATTGTCATGGCAACATATTGAAAAGAGCCGGCTTTATACTCCTTCTTCACGGCCTTTCTATGGGATAGGACGATGGAATTCGTTGCCTCGGGCATCGGATAAATCCAGACGCGACTTTCATGCGACAGACACGTTTGTCATCACGGGTGATTGTCGTACGGACCAAGACCGTCACACGAGGCATTTTGCTGAAGCTACGTTGAAGCTGTGCTGACTGTCGGGCCCGTGCCTGCCCGTCTGTCTGCCTGCCTCGAAGGCAAGACAACAGCCGGCAGTTGTCCACAACGTCGATTCATCCGCTGGATTTCCTATCCTCGGGAAGGCACACAAGTCGCAGCTTCAATTCAGCTTCAGTAGCGCTCATCGAGCATCTGTCTCGGTCTATGTGAGGATGCATTCGGCGCGCATGAATTTTGCTCCGTTATATGCAGCCACTGTCTTTCTCAGCGTCTTGTTGATCCCAGCGGTTTGCTACTTGGAGATTTCCCCGATGTACATTTCATGCAGAGGAATGATGGGATTATGCTGCGGACGCTGCCCGAGTCATTGCCTAATCGGTCTCATCATGGGTATCCTAAAACGGTCTCATCAGCCACAGAGAAACATGCAGCGGCCAACAGTGACACCAGAACAGCACTACAAGATTAAATCTATCCATTACATCTCCGGTCCCCTGCGTAGCAATCCATCGTCATCCAGCAATCCAGAGGCATCTGTTTTACACTCTCCCACAGTTGCTCCTCCAAGATTTGCAACAGAGCAAACCTGCCGGGCCAAATATGCATGGCTACGGCACGCATGCATATATGGACAAACTGATTACCAAGCCAAAGGGTGATTTTTCCGTTCCATGTCCTTATTCGTGGCGAGCAGTTGGCCATCCGCCAAATCCTGCAATCTTTACCCGTTTGCGTAATCCAAGGTCAACACGGCTGGAGCTGAAGACGTCGCAATATGTATCACTGGCAGGCAAATACCTATGTTTGGTAGGCAGAAGTCCCTGCACGGCGAATTTATTAGTATCTGCTGCTGCGTCAGGCATCGGGCATCAAATCAGAATATGTAAGAAACGACGCCCCCAAATCAAGCACCAGAAGCAAGGTGTCGCATGTCCAAATGTCGGGTCCCAAGGTCCAAAAGTGCTTATACCGCCCGGCCCTAGTTCTCATGTGCTGGACTTCAGAGAGGCCTTCAGTGCAATTTCGGTTACTGTGGCGAGAAAACCGGCAAGAAAGTTGGGCCAAGCAGGGGCCACGTGCGACAACACCAACAATCGCCGTAGGAGGACGAGGTTGCGCTCCTGGCGACTGGCGGCACAGTACACGTCAGATAACAACAGCAGCAGTAAGTAGGAGCAGAAAGCAGCAGTAAACACAATAAATCACCAAAGAACCAAGACGTTGTTGGATTTTTTCTCTATGGAAGGTTTACCGCTCTAGGTCAGGACATAAACATACACGAACACGAACACGAACACAAACACAAACACAAACACACAAACGCAGACGCATCCAATCATCACTTGCACCTCAAACCCACGCGGGACCATGGGGGCCTCCATTTATTTAGTTCATCAGCTGCGCCACCGCCTCCACAACCGCACATTCCCTAACCACCAGCCGTTCCATAAGCTGTTCAAAGAAGAGAGCAGTTGACAGTTGACAGTTGGTGATGCCAACCCCTCGAAAGAGGACGCCTACCGTGTGCAACAGCCAACAAGTATCGAGTCAAGGGGAAGAGCTCTACATTGGCGATACCCATCCTTCTCCTCCCAACCCTCCTCTTCCTCCTCCTCACCTTCCCCTCCCGCCGTTACCCCAACCCGGCGCCACTTACACGCACCCCACACGCGCACGTGTTCCCCTTTTCACACTCCCCCTTAACCTCAAGGCAATTCTAGTTCAAGTCAGCCAGACCGCCAGCCCGCCCCTGCCCTAAACGAACAGCCCTAAAATCCAAAAGCTCTAAAATCCAAAAGCCTTAAATCCAATCCAAAAGCCTTAAAAGCCAGCCAGTTCGGTGCTCAATCCCCTCGCCAACTCCGAACCCCACCGAGCGCCTGCTGTTTGACAGCTCCGTATGTCTCACTCAGCCTCCAACCAATTACTTCAATTACTACAGTATGCAGCATATACTGTAAATTGTAAAACCACACAACAGTTCATTATTTATATTCGTTTGTTCGTTGGCTCTCTCGAGCTTCACTGTCCTAGGAGCCAAGGGTCATGAACCCCTGGGTAGGGGCACTGCTTTAAATTGCATGTACTCGGTATGCATGTATGTATGCGGTACGACACTCTAACTCTCATTTTTTGGCATTCTCAACGGTTCATGGCATATACCCCCAACGGTACCCCGACTTCTTCTTCTTCTTTGCCGACAGGGCTCCCTCCTATAATGCCTTGCCAATACACTCTGCCGCGCCTGCTAGCCGACCACACCGCAATGACCCAGCCGTACATTGCTGCACCCTCTTTAGCACCCGTCCGTGGCTAGCCGAACATACCTTTTGTCGGCCGTACATAACAACATTTTTGCGCTAAGGAACCGGGTATGATATCGTGCCTACGGAATTATGGGGCGACTCGCCCCGCCCTGATAAGGCCCTTAGACACAAAACCTCCTCCTCCTCCTCAACGGGCGCCATTGGGCTCTTGCCGCCGTACACTTAGCAACGCGGAAACCCTTTCTGTTGTTGTCGTTACTATACTGGTTTACACCTCGCTTACCGTCGCCGGTACGTAACACTGTAACATCACAAGCTACACCACCCAGCGACACCTTTCCCCGGAAACGATCGTGCTGGAGCTAGACAACAAAATAATATATATACATACATACATAGATCCCGTCTAGTTGGAGCACCAAACAAGCGCTGTTGCGTGCCGGCCGTCGTTTCCCGTGCGGCCTGACCCGGGGGCGGAGTGCATGAGACTAACCAGCCGTATGCACCCGCCCCCCGCGCTGTGCTTCGGCCTGGGCCCCCGGCTTTTCAGCCCACAGTGTAATCAACGTCATACATACATACATACATACATACATAGATACATACAATTGCACATACATACATATACATACATACGCACAGGCAGCAGAACAATTATCTGCAAATTCTACATCTTAAAAATCAATAAGGAGAGGCTGTTATTGAAGTTCCTGGAGCTCACAGTATTCCTGTTTGTTTTCATCTTCCAAGTTCGTTCGACGGCACGCAATTCCATGCCGTACCGTACGGCAGAGGTGTAAGATAAAAGCACGCATACGCACGATCACGCCGCAGCACTCTGCACGACTGCAATACCTCCTTCCCCATTTCACCCAGACGACCCTTCTTCTTCCCAAAACTGCACACCGCAGTTCGTACCCCTCGGGTCACGAGGGCTGCTTCGAAACCAAACCTCCCCGCACCCGCGCTTTGACCTTGCCGTCAATGGCCAAAAGCTCCGCCTTTAGGGCGTCCTGCATCTCAGCCAGCACCACACCTCCCTGGGCTTGTTGGCCGCGTACTGGCGAGTCGACACGGCCGGGGGCGGTGGAAGGCTGCAGATGATGATGGGAGTATGTATGTCCCTGGCCCTCCAGGGGTGCCCCGGGGTGTCCATGTTGGCGGTGCTGGTGTTCTTGGTCGTGGTTGCCGCCAGCGAGCCCCTCCGCTGCCAACGCGGCGGAAGCAGCCGCACTGCCTTTCACTTGTCGCTTCCGAGCACCGAGCACCGCCAGTACCTGCAGGTGCAGCGCCGCCTCCTCGCGCGCAACACGACGTTCATGCCAATGGCCCTGCGGAAGACGTTGACCCGCACCGTTACCGCCGCTGCCGCCGCCGTCGCCATTGCCATGGTTTTCCGGGTCCCAACCCGCCGCCACTCCGGGAGTTGGCGCGGAAAGGGACTCCGAACCCAAGGTGCGCTTTCGTGAAGCGACCCGTGACGACAGGCCGCCGCCGTCATCGTCGCCGTCGCCAACGTCAGCGGCCCGGCGCTCCGAAGCCGGTCTCATGGTAAGCACTGCCAGCTCCGCCAGCTTAGTACGGATGCGTGATTCAACCTCCGAAAGAGCGTCCGCCGCAGCCACCGAGTCCTCGGTGACAGCGGCGGCGGCAGCGGCAGCGGCAGCGTCGCCGCCATCAGCGGCAGCTGCAGCCGACGGCGCCGGTGCCGAGTCAGCTGCTGTGGCCAAGGCCGCCACCCGTCGCACCAGGTCTTGATGAAGCTTTTGCAGCTCCATCCGCTTCTGGTCGATAGCCTGTGACCCATGGGTCAGTGGAGAGGGCCAATGCGATGGTCGCATCAGATCTGGAGATGGCTTCTCAGATGTTCAAGATGTCCTGTTCACTTTTCTGTACAGCACAGCAAACGTCCATCTCGCCTGTTCGCTCCTGTTGTTGAAATGTTTGTCTCTTGACGTTGGACCCGGGGGATGGCTCTATGATTGGGTCACAGTGAATGAGGGCCACGATAGAGCAGGACAGACCACCAATGTTGCCCGCATAACCCAACCACTGTGTCATTGTTGTAAATGTGAATGTACGTAAACACGCGACACAGCCAGCCAAGCTGAAAGCTATCGAAAGAACCCCTCATCGCCCCACCTCATCGCACCTGTTTACGAGAGCCAGCACGCGAAGGCAAGGCACCGCTGCCAGCGGCGGCGGCAGCTGCAGCACTTGACGCCGAGACGCTGGGTGCCGCCCCAGCGGGCTCAGCGCCGCCGCCGCTGCCACAGTCACCGCCGCCACCGCCCCTGTCGTGCCGCCTCCCAGGGCCATCATCTCCGGCACCTGCTATCGCCGCTACTGCTGCTGGTGTTAATGCGCCCGGCGCTGCGGCCATGTCCGCTTCGTCAGAATCGATACCGTTTTTGGTGATGTACGACAGATGTGACATGATGCGCTCCACCTGGTCCGCAAGCATCTCCAAATCCAACTTGCGGCCCGGCGTCGGCCGTGGCAAGCCGCCGCCGCCGCCGTCAACAACCCGCGGCGGTGGAGGCGATGCGCGACTTGGTCCTGGAGCCTCCGGAGGCAAGACCGCCATCCGCCCGTACCTGCCGTCGCCGCCGCCGTTCTTCAAGGCCATCGCTGGCGGCGGCTTTGCTCGTGTGGGCGGCTGCAGCGGCATTGCAGGCCACAGCGCGACGACGGGTCCGCCTCCGTCGCTTCCCTGATATGGCGACGCCATTGCCATGGCGGAAGTCATAATCTGGGGCCGATGCGGCGGCCGCGGGTCTGAGGTGCCGTACAGCGCCGATTCATCGGCGGAGGACTCGCCGGGGTTACCGCCGCTGTGCTCCGCCGCCGCCGCCGCCTCCTCCGACGCGCCGCCGCCGCTAGGGCACCAGTCTCGGGGTCGGGAGCTGTGCACCGGCGGTGCTCGCAGCGCCGTTGCAGCACTCGTGTCGCTGGTAAGGCTCTCCAGCAACACCGATGGCAGCGATTCGGGAACGACGGACGCCCTGCCGTACTGCGGAGTGCTGCCCGCCAGTACCGTGCCGTGGACACCATTCCCGGCGGTCGCGGAGTCATCGCCGCCGCCGCCGCTGCTGCCAGGAACCCCCGGCGTCGGCGGCAGCCCCGGTGCGTCGGCGGCGTGAGGCGACTTTGCGGGCTGCGGCAGCTGCGGCATAACAAATGGCCAGCCGCCGCCGCGTCCCGCCGCCGCCGCATAACCGGAAGGGGCGGAGACTGTCGGCGCGAGGACTGAACGGCTTGCCAACGACGGCAACGGCGCATCGTTGGAATCATCATCGGCGACGGCGCCGGAGCTGCCGCCGGTACCGACACTACTTCCGATACCAGCGGCGGCGGCGGCGGCGGCGGCAGCCGGGCCCAGCCGCACGGCGCCTGGGGCAGCAGAGACCGCCGCCGCCGCCGCCGCCACCACCGGCGGCTTGTAGCCTCGGCCCTGAATGCACAACGCCGAATTCTGGTCCCATGGCCCTCTGGGTGAGAGCCCGTCTGTAAGCATCGTGTGACGCTGCGGCCTGCACGCAGCAACGAAAATCAGTGCTGTGACATTCGGCCGTAGGGTTGTATAGGCCCGCGACAAATACAACTCGGATTGGGAGAATACAACGACGAGAGTAGAGGCCCAATGCAGCCCAACGCCGGGGCATGCAAAAAGTGGGCAGGGACACGCCCAAAAAAACAGTATGATATGGTTTATGTGACGGGGGGAGGAAGAGGGAGATTACGTGCAAAGCGCAAAAAGTGAATTCACTGCCGACGTCCGTGGGGTGAGTGGGTGGTTGGTTGGGTTGGAGCTACTGCTGTGGCTGTGCCAAGCCATATCACAGCAACAGCATCACCAGCAACACCCATAGTAGCGGCCGGCCCTAGTCGAGGCCGAAATTGCGGTTCAGTGTTGGCTACCGGCCGCTCTGCTAACCCGGATCTGCTAACCTTCCGCTACTGCCGCCGCCGCCAGCTCCGCGGGCGGCTGCTGAGCCGCTCGCTGCCACCGCCGCCGCCGGGGTTGCAAGTACGTCACCCGCTAGGGGGCTCCCTTCCGAGTGGCCCTCCTGCTGCTGCTGCTTCTGCTTCTGTTGCCGTGCGGATAACTGTCCCGCTGACAGTACGGCACCGCCGGTGTGTGCACGTGGCTGTGCGGACTGGGGCCCTGCGGACTGACGCTCGAACGCACGGCGTTGCCGGTTGGCGGAGCGTGCGCGGCGAGCTCCACCCAGGGGGGAGCTGGCGGCGGTGCCGCCGCCGCCGCCGCCTGTGCCGCCGTCGGACGCCACGCCCGCTGGTGTAGGAATGGCCCAGCCTGCGATTGCGCGGACGAAACGCGGTAGCGCTCCGCCGCCGGGGCTCCCTGGAGAGGAAGAGAGGCTCCCGGCGGCGTTGCCGTCGCCGTGGTAAGCCCATGCCACGCCTGGCGGCGGCGGCGGCTGGCCTGCCGAGGCCGTACTGGATCCAACTGGGACCTTCTGCTGGGGCGGCGGCGGTAGGCCGGCGGCCCAGGACTTGAGGGTCGATTCCGCGGCGCTTCCCGGTCTTCGGAGCGACTGGGACGGCGTGGACGCGGCGGAGGCTGCAGCGGCGATGGCGGCGCTGCCTTCGTGTGCGTTGACGGTGCGCTGCTGCTGCTGCCTCTGTTGGCCTGTTTGTTGGCCTGTTTGTGTCTGGTCATAAGCTTCCAGCTTGGGATGTGGTTGAGAAACGTCCGCGGCAGATGGCTGCGGCTGCAGCTGTTGCGCTAGGGTGGCCGCCGCTGTCACGGGCGTCCGCAGGCCGCGAAGGCTGGGGGAGGCTTGCAGGCCGCCGCCAGCGCCGCCGCTGAAGGGTTGACCTCCGCTGAGGCGATGAGGCGGCACCGGAGATGCTGATGATGGACGGCCGTGTTGACTTCCTGCGCCGCCGTACGATCTGTCCGGCCGCGTCGGCGCCAGGGATTGGCCACGGGATGAAATCGCACGGTTCGTGCTGCCGCTGGCGCCCATTACTAAACCTTCCAAGTCCCGAGAGTTCAATGGCTGAGCATGTATAACACCGCCGCCAGCACCTGCTGCGGCGCCGCCAAGGATGCCGTACGTGTCACTGATGGACGACGTCACAGAGACCTGCCGTACATCGTCTGTAATGGGCCCCGCGCCGCCCAGCGTCCCCGCCACCGCGGCGGCAGCGTCCTGTTCTAGCCACCCGTACGAGGATGCCGACGTCAGCGCGTTGCCGGGCCCGCCAGCGCTGCCGCCGACGACCAGCACTCCCCGGGACGCGGACTTATTTGCGGACCAGCGTCGCCGCCGGCGCTGTGGCGTCGAGCCGCCAGGTCCCGCCGCTGGCACTGGCCCCACGTGCGGAGAGCCCGGGTCCGCCACGCTCCGCCAGCCATCCGAAGCGACCCACGGGTCGCAGCTGCCGGCGGCGGCGGCATCCTGCACACCGCTGACAGACGGCGGGGCAATGTAGCCGATGGCATGCTCAGCGGCGGCAACGCCCGAGAGGCTGTTGCGGCTGCTGTTGCGCGACGGTACGAGCATACTGGCCATCCGGCTCCGGCGCCCCGAAACCAAACCATCCTCGGTAACTGCTCGCGACTGCGCACCCGTGAAGGTTTGCCCCTGCTGCTGACTGCCCTGCCCGGGATGTACGACATGCACGCTGGCAGGAGTGGCCGCCCTGGAGGTATTGCTGGGGCGCAGACCTAAGCGAGGGGGACGCAGCAGTACGGCAAGGTACGGATTCAACAAATGGAGGCGCGACATGGAACACGACTCTGACTGAGGTGCGATCCAGCAGCAGCAGACAAGATAGCTCAAGGTAACGTGGGGAGATCCGATGCCCCCTCCTGCCGCATGACCTTCACATCTCAATGACATCCCGTTCTGCATACCGTGACTTCCTCCGTCAATCTGTATGTATGTACTTCTTCCTCGCGGCTCGCAGTTATTTAAGCACACACACACACACACACACACACACACACACACACCCCAGCGCATGCGCCTGTCTAGACGCCTGCGCGGCCCCCCGCCTGCCTTACAAGCAAAACCCAAATCACCAGCTGCATACGACAGTGCTTGGGGCTTATCACTGCACACAACTATAGCCAACAAGCCAATAGAGGGCCACGCGCAAATTGTCTCCCATTTTTCGCTAATGCCGCGGCGAGGCAACCCACGCGGCAATCTAATTCAAACCACGCCGTACCGTTAGACCGCCGCTCCAGCGACGCAGCGGCGGCCACTGCCGCCGCCGCCAGTCCCCCGCCCACCCTGGAGCCGTTCCCGTTTCCTCCTCCCGGATTGCTGCTGTGGCTGTACCTCCGAGCCGAGCCGCCAGGTACCGGTCCGCTCACAGACGTCTGGTTCGCACTCTGAGCGGCGGTTGGGTTGCCCCGGTGCCCCGGTGGCCAGGGCCGGTCCAGGGAGGGAACCGCGGCGGCGGACAAGTCAACAGGGCACGGACGGATGACAGCCACGGAAAGGGCGTCACTGGTCTACTGTTGCTCTACTGGTACCAACCCCCCACGGACAATAACCCCTGCGTGATGACTAGTACTGCTACTACTACTGCTGCTACTGCTGCTGGTGAGCTTCCCCAGCCGTCTTTCCTGAGCTGAGTCGCCTCCCACCCAGCCTTTGTTTCTTGGCTTCCAGACGGTTCCGGAGCTACCGGGTCAGGTCGGTTAGGGTCACCCTCAGCAGCAACAGCAAGCCAGCAGCAACAGCAACAACAAGCAGAAGCCGCAAAGCATAGATGCAGCCGCTGACGTCGCCGCTGCAGCAAAATCAGGATCAGGTGTAAAAGCAGGGGCAGCAGCAAGAGAGCTGCAATACCACGAGTAGCAGTAGCAGTAGCAGTGGTGGCAAGTCGCAGTGGCAACGGAGAGGGGGCGACTCACCGCGCCCATCTGTCGCGAGGCCATGAGGAGCTTTTTGCGGTGGCCCGGGGGTATGACGGCGCCCGTGTGGGCGGTGATGGCATCCAGGTCGGCTTCCGTGAGACAGGACAGCAGGTCCCAATCTGAAACCAGGGGGTGCACGGGGTAGAGGGATGCGGAGAAGGGAGGGGCGAGTGCCTGTATGTTGTACGTATGTACGTACGTACGTGCGTATGTGTGTATGTATTGGGGTTAAAATCGGGGCGAGGGGCTGACGTGGGGGACGTTCTGCAGTTCTATTCAGAGGGCTTCCAGTTGGTCTGGCTGTGGCTGCTACGTTTTTTCTACACGCTACACGTACCTACGGAGCTTGGAGCGTTTCGTTTACAAATAGTTCGCAGGCTGGCGGAAGATTAATGCTTCTTGCACGCGTGTTTGTGGAACCACTGGCCCAGCACGCAGATTCTGGAGGGGGAAACCAGGGCAGGTGCCCCGGGCTGGAAGTTGCTTTCAGCTTCTGCCGGCGCCGGTGCTGCGGCGGTCGCATTCTATTTTGTAGGCCGTTTCGCTTCCCGCCAGTTCGGTTACGATTCAGACTTTAGGAGCAAAAGGAGATGATACGGCAACGCCAAGAGTTCAACCCATGGATTGGAATGAGAAAAAGGGCTTTGGGGGAGGGAGCTAGGACAGTTCCTCTCCGTTTGGACCCAGAGAGCAGAGGCAAGGGATGTCGATGTCGCTGCTCGTGGGCGCTCCACTTACCGCTGAAACCTGCATCGTCAAATGCCTCCCCATACTGCGGCAACCCAATCTCTTGGAGCCACGCGTGCGCCGCGCCGCGGGTTGAGAAGGCGGATGCCGGAAGTGGTTCTGCATTTGGACATGAAAGCGAATGTCAAGCCACGGGCTGCTAGCAGGCTGCACCAGGGTTCAGGCGGACTAAAAGGTTCCAATTGGAAGGCAAAGTATGGCAAAAGCAAAGGAATCCGTGCCATCCGAACCGATGGAGCACGACAGAAGGTGCTTGACCCAGCCCACCTTCCAGGTCATCAGACAAAGTCCGCACTTGTCCATTCTTGCTGAAAAAGCAACCCATTACCAAGCCATTCAGACAGCAACGCAGCGTCCCAGCTACCGTGACTGCTTCCAAACACAATATGTGAATTGGAGCATTTCAGTTACCAAAAGGTAACCATCAGAGCAAGTCCTGTAGGTGAGAGTCACACAAGTTCACCATCTAGTCCAGTCTCTTCCTGTGCGAACGTCGAAGTTACGATAAGGGTATGCGAGCATGCAAATATATACAGTTTATCATTTTTAACCAATGAATAATTATTCGGCTAAATTTGCGTTCGCCATAGAGGCATTTTGGAACTCGTGGCAAGTAAAGGTACGGCATCCCTGACAAGTTTCCAGAGCGTTGAAAAAGTTGAGGATCATATTGTAGACAGGATCATATTGTAGACAGCAGTCTCCAGTAAGCGCTGAGGCACCTGCAGACTCTTTCCAGCGTCGTAAGGAAGCTTTCGTTTTTTACATTGTTCACCCTTAGGCCCAAGCTTTAAACTCACTTGCCTAGTATGATGCTGAAGAGGGCATCCATTATAAATTCTGCGAGTCACCGTTGCAGGTAACAGTTCTCGACACGACGCAGCCGCCACAAACACAAGGAACTTTGCTCTCATTTTCACAAATAGTTTACCACCTCACCGCACCTCTCTTGCAATTCTTATCCTTAATAATGGCAGCAATCTTCCTGTCGTCCGTCGTCTCCCCAGCAGGACCGTGCCTGTCGTGCAATGTGCAGCGTCCGCTTTGGAGCCCAACACTTACGCACCCCCACGGGAGCGTGGACCACGCAATGCCTCTTCGGATGCCAACACCTCCGCGCCCCCGAAGGGGTGGCAAAATCGTCGTGCGCGGCGCTCTCAAGGTCAGCCTGGACACGATCTTCCGCGCGAGTATCCGCCCGCTCGAGTCGAGCATCGCCGACCCGCCTCCTGAACAGACGAGGACCCCCTCTACCTCCCCTCCCAACCACACTCCTCCGCCCTCTGCCAGCGGCAACTAAGCCCCGCGGCCCTTCCTGTTTCCCTTCCACACGTACCCCCAGCTAACCTCATCTTAAGCGCTGCACCCTTCCTTCATAACGGCACGACACCACACGAACAATAGTGAAATAGCGGCCGCTCCGCGAATCACAGCCTCTCTGATCCCGGTTCCCGCCGCTCCGCGAATCCGCAGAAAACACCACCGGCTCAGATGCCCAGCAGCAGCAGCAGCGGCAGCAGCAGCAGCAGCAGTCGCCGCCGAAGCAGGTCCTGCCGTCGGTTGTTTTCCTGGAGGACGACGTGGCCTCCATCACGTACAAGGTCAGGTCACTATATCAGGTAAGAGCTCCACCTTAGCTTGGTTGCACGGTTGCACCCATCAGCAGTCTTGGAGCGGCATGATGGTGGCATCTGGCCCACTTTGCAACAAATTTTGAAGTAGCTAGCAAACTTCGAACTGCCCTTCCCAAGCCTGCCCTGCACTGCCCCGTCCTGTCCTGCCCCGTCCTGTATCCTATTTGTTGCCGTCCAGGCCTGGTGCTGCGTAGGTCAGCTTCGTAACGGAAAATTTTCGCCCGTTTCTCTCCCGTCTCTCTCTTTCTCCTCCCCCTCTTTCTCTTCTCTCCCACGCACGCATACCTGCCCTGTGTTATCCGCACACGCCCCGCTGCCGCCCTGCCTACACCAACATGCGCACACAACCCCCCCTCGATGACCTTCACCTTTCCACAACCCCCCCTTATCGGGTGGCTTCCGGCGGCTGGACTGGACTGCGCTGGGGCTTCCTCAGAGGTGCTTCGCTGAGGGTAACGGCGTGGCGGTCCGCAGCCTAGGGCGGCAGGGGGCTGCGGGGGCGATGAGGTTCCTGCTAGCCATGCGGGAGGAGGGCGCGGCGGCGGCGGATGAGGTGAGAGCTGGAGAGGGCTGAGAGGGCTGGGCTGGGCGGAATGATGAGGGTCAGGGGGGAGGAGAGGGGGAGGGGGGCTGTACGCACGTACCGGGGGTTGGCTGCCGGGCTGCTTGGTTGTTCTGTCCACCCTTCCCGTATTCGCCAGGCCATGGCCGATGTGAGGGGCTCCATGTCCTGCCGGTGTGTTTCGCCATGTTGTTCCCCCCTTACCCTCTTTTCCTCCCCCTCCCTTTCGCAGCTTCGCTCGTTCGTGGTTCGTCTTTCCACTCCCTTTCGCCCCTTTCATGTACCTCCTCCGAACCCCCGTGGTCTCGGATGCGGGTTGGGTTTGGGTTTTAGGGTTTTCTTTGAAAGGGTTTTGGGGGGTAATGGAGCCGTTTTCCTCGACGGGACTTCCGTACTGTCGTACCCAGTTCTATGGGCATCCTGGTGCTTCAACTGTACTCATGGTGCTCTGCTTTATTACTTACATATGTTTTGGGGGCAGGGGGGGGCCCAGGGGGATGTCGCTTACGTCGGGCGGTCCCCAACCACCCTGCCTTTTGCTTACACGGCTGCATTGCTGCTGCTGTCGCCTATTACAGCTTCGACCACCGTAATTTACCGCCGCCGCTGCTGCCGCCGCCGCTGCTAAAAGTGTTACTGCATCCGCCCCTGCTGCAGTCACATTCCTTCTTCCTCCACCTATCTCCCGGCCGCCTCCTCTCCCGACCTCCGTCCGACCAGCTCTTATTGCTCCCGCCCTGCAGCGCGACGTGTGCATCCGGCTGGTGCCTCAGGAGCCGCTGAAGCCCTTCGGCACCCCCCTCCTGCTGATTGTGACCGCCGTCCGGGGGCGCACACAGCTGCCGCCGGAGAACAGCCCGCAGTGCGTACCGCTCAGGTAGTTGGGGAGGGGGCGGAGAGGGGGGTTGTGGGGTGAGGTTTTCTGTCTCAGTGGAAATGGCTGAGCTAGGTGGTTAGGCAGGTGGGTTAGGGCACGTGGGTGGTTGTGTATGGACATTTGGTGTTCCCAGACCCCGTGTCGACTGCCGGGACATATTCCTCCCCGGCAGTAGCGCCGCCCTGAGGCTGCCAAATATGCGTCTGGCGGCGCTCATCCAACAAAGCCCCGTAGCGTCCACCCCGCCAAACACATGGACTGGAAGTCTCCAGGGAGGGCCTCAGGATCCCGGCGTGATCTCCCAACCACGTTTCTGCCTCAATGACCGCTGGCCGCTCCTGTGTCCTCTGCCGGCAAAGCCCTGATGCCGGACACACATGCCCGCGCGACCGTTCCTCCAGCATGTTCCCGAGGGCCTTATCCCAGGGAGGGAGGGGGGAAGGGAGGGGGGATATATGTAATACAAGGGGGAGGGGTAAGGCTCCGGGCTCCGGGCAGGACTTTCACCTTGGAACGGAATGCGTGATTGCGTGTCACGCTGCGTGATTTGTTCCTTGCCAGCCTTTCCCAATATCCCGAGGTGGGTGGGGTTGGGGGTGTGGGTTCTACCTCTCCATTTCTCCATCAAGATTTTCAATAATTCATTACATTTCTAATTCTCCATCTCCAAGATTCTCCCCTACCCCTCCGGGTAGGTTATCTTCATCTCTTTGCTCTAGTCAACCGTTTTTATGCCCTAGTTCGTCTTAAAACCCCCCTGCCCCGGATGCATGGTGATCCTTTTCCTTTTCCTCCGTCTTTCTAGCTAGCTTTACCTCTCTCTCTCTCCCCCTCCCCGCTTCCCCCGTCTTCCAAAAACATACACACACGCACACGCAGCGTGGCGTCCCGTACGGATTCCCCGCGTTTGGAGACTAAGGTGTTGCGGGAGCTGAATAATCTGCAGCCCGGCCAGTTCTTGCGGCTGGACATGGTGGGTTTGCGAATGGGAGGGAGGCAGATTAGGGACAAGATGTGAATCATACCGGAAAGTGATAGGGAAAGGGTGATTGAAGGGGGGCTATGGGTTGAAGCTGGGTCATCTCTGGCCGGGGAGCTTCGATTCTGGAGTTGGTAATGTGTGTGTGTGTTTATATATGTGTGTGTTTATATATACCATCGCCGCAGTTGCCATTTCCAGGCGAGAAACCCCTCACACGGTCGCGCTTCCGTCCCTCGGTCACATTTGTACCTTTTCTGTCGTTCAGGTGGGTACGGACGCGCTGTATCGCGGCCTGTCAGCCCTCCGCGACGCACAGGAGAGGATTCCCGCGGCCAGCTACAACTTCTTTGCGGTTCCGGAGCTGGTTTCCGTCCCGGTGCGCGCGCGGAGAGAACCATCACAATTGCAGCAGCAGCAGCAGCAGCAGGGGAGTCCTCGTCAGGAGCAAGCAGGCCAGGGGCAGAAACAGCAACAGCAAGGTGCGGAGTCGACGGAAGAGACTGCGCCGCGCGTGCAGGTTGTTCGTCTGTATGTCGGTCGTTCCCGGAGCGCGCCTACCCAGGTATCTGCGTCGTCGCCATCGTCTTCGTCAACTCCTGCTACAGAAGCTAATGCTGGGCAGCAACAGCCCGTAGCGGGAGCTAGCATTCCGGGAGTGGATCCGGAGCGTCCTGGCAAGGGCAAAGTCTTGGTTTCGGAGGCCGAGCTTCAGGAGCTTAAAGGGGCTCTGGGCAGCATGATGGAGCAACAGAAGATGTTGGTGCAGCTGATTAATCAACGGCAGGAGGCGGACGGGGGCGCGGGGCTTGCGGCAAGCCAGGCATAAGACTCTCTCAGTTAGGCCGCGTAATCCCGACGGGCTGCTGCGGCTCGTGTGCTGCCTGATTGATTGTTGATGTGTAAAATCACCTTGAAGGACTGCGGACGGCCCCAGATGGGGGACAGGTCTTCTCTACAGAGGGCCGTCCATGCGCCGTCCCCCCTTTCGGGTTTTACGGACGCCGCCCACATTTGTGCGGAACTTGTAACTTCTCGTACAGAGGATCTGTGGATGTGGTACGGAGAAGATTTCCCTACAGCACGCGGTTTCCTTGTTGGGCCTGATGTTCTGCTGATGTTGGCTGTTGAGATCTGGCCAGCACTCGACCTGGCGGTTCGCTGCACACGAGGCGTTTTCTTCTTCTACTTCTTCTTCTTCGCTGTCTTCTATCAGGAGGGAAGGGCAGGGACCAGCGGGATGAGGGGTGGGGTGAAGGAAGGACTCCTCGACAATGGTGACCTGGCGCCCTGCCTTCATGACTGTCGGCGCGGCTTGATGCAAGGAAGGTGCGTGCGTATGCTCGTGATGGTGGGACATGAAGGCGAGTAACGCGCGCACTAAAACACGGCTGTGTGCATGGCTGGGTTTGGATATTCTTCGTGCGTGGACGCTGCGAGTGGCGGTTAAAAGGAAAAATCGAAATGAGCCGGTGGTAGAGGCAGAGGCTGCGGTTGAAATGGAGAACGAAGGGGTTTTCATGAGACAGAACGTCGAAGGAGGCACAAAGAGGACAGCAGGCAGGCCCCCCCCCATTTCCCCCTTTTTCTTGCCAGAAAAGTCCCCGAAAAGAAGCTTTCTCTCGCGGTGATAACATCAATGGCTGCAGCTCTCAATGTCTGGATGGATGTAGATGCACAACGACAGAAACCCGACCTGAAAGTTGTCGGCGGCGGCTTGGAGGCTACACAATTGTCAGAGTCGCTGTTGTGTATTGTACGCTCTGCTTTTGCCGGTACGGGCATTCGGCCAGTTTTGACAATAGCGGTGGAGAGCCACACATTGTGTCGGCCAGCTCATTAAAACACAAAATAACCAGAGCTCCCCCGACCACGAATACCCTTCTCTCCCGCAGCACGCAAGCTCCTCTGGGGCCGTGAGGTAAATGGAATCAATCATTGATGAAAAGTCCATTGCGAGGCGATGGAAGGCGGGAAGGGAAAGTCAGTTGTGTGGTGGTTGCAGTGCCGCAGTTGTGCAGGATGAACGCCGTGACATGCAGCCGCTGTAACCAATTGGTAGGGTAGCCTAACGGTAGGCTAACCCTTCGGCAGGGTAAAGGCCGGTAACTCCTCGGTAACCCTGCCGAGGCCTTTACCCTACCGACCTAATATTTTACAACGCAGGAACTGGAGGCTTCTGTCTCACCTGCCTATCCGCTCTGCGGCACAAAATTGCTTTATCTATTTCTGTGGCTCCTACTTCTCGTCACACCTTGTTTTATAGCAGGAAAATTTCGCTTTCACCTTCGTGTACAGATCCGACGCGCAAACTCGACGCCTCCGTCCCAAATGGCCATGCGCTCTGCCGTACAACATGTCCTGTCAAGGGAACGTGCGAACAACATCTGTCCCCCTTGTAATGGTTGCGCCCTGAAGTATCTATCCTGTTCGGTACTTCTCTGTAAAAGTCTTGATATAGCACGCCCTAACAGCATGCACGTAAAGAGTGTCCTGACATATATCCATGCGCCTGCCTCACTGCACCAAGATGACAACCTCGCTCCATCGACTTAAATCGCGTACATGCAGTACAGCAGTACACTAGGTGCAGTACACTGGATACGTACATATTTAGTAGTAGTACGCCGTTTTATACACCTGCTCTGCCATGCAAGGTGACATCCATAGCTGTGGCAGTGGATGGCGGGCGGTTGTCGTGAAGCTACTGCCGGTGGTCACTGCTGCTGCTGCTGCTCTGTGGTGGCGATGGTGGCTACTGCCACCGGCGCTTTGGAGAAACGGTGCTGCTACTGCCATTGCATGGCGCTACTCCTGCTGCTGTTGCTGCTGCCCTTGCCAGGAATGTCACTGATGTTGCTGCTACTGACGCCATCACCGCTAGTCAACGGCTTCTGTACAGCAAACGACTCTGTCAGGTGAATGGATGAATCATGAGATGAATCCTCTGTTGCATCGGAACTAGAAGCTAATTGCACGGACACAGCTTAGCTGCTCTGCTTGGATGGTGCCTAACAGCACGAAGACATATAAGAACCCTCGTTCTGCCGTACGCCGGCTACCGTACTTTACTTCATGGGCGGTGGGAAGTAGGTGAAGACGTCGTTCAGCTGTGCAAAGGTGTCGGAGTCGGGCTTCAAACCGCGCCGTTCCAAAGCAGCAATAATCTACACGACGGGAGACGGGTAATCGCACAGCATCAAACGTCTTGCCCGTCGCATTCATCAAGGATGGCATTGCTACTACGGGTTGCGCCCAGGCCAATGCGAACAACAAGAGAAAGTCGCGAATGTCGTACCAGTGGTGCCGTACCGTGCGGAGCAAATGGGTGAGTTCGCATTGTGGACGGGCTATACACACAGATATTTGGAAAGGATGTGTAGGATATTTATTTCTCCATATACGTGCGTCCCTTCCCAGAACGATCTAGGGGGAGCAACCCTTGAGAGGGTGTCGGCGACTCGCGGGGGGACTAAGTGCGTTGTGCTGTCTGCTAAGATGGCCAAAAGCGGCGGATGACCGCCAAACGTACTTGTCCATACGTCATGACCACCACACGGCAACCGCTACAACCCACCTCCTCTCCCGACACAACTTACGGCGCCGCCTACAGGCACAGCCGCGCCACAAAAACCACAGCCCGATGTAAGCCTTGCGGCCCCGCGTAGTACCTCTCCCCTCCTGCCCACTCCCCTTGGTTGGTTTGCCGCCCCATCATTAACCCTTTGCTTCTTGCATGTAAGCACCACCCTCCGTAATCCCCAAAGTCCGACTCATCCCGCTGGTCCACACACCTCCATCGCATCGTCGGTCGCTCCCAGCTGCGCGCACAGCCGCAGCAGCTCCTGGGCGGCAGCCATCGCCTCTTCAGGTTTCAAGATATTCTGCTTCTGCCTCAGCTCTAGATCTAAATCTGACCCGGCTGGATCCAGCCCCGATCCATTCGATCCGCCAGCCACGGCTAGGTTTCTGCCTAGCACCGGCTGGGCTGTAGCAGCCTCCGCATGTGCTGTGGCTACAGCTTCAGCTACGGCTACACCATCACAGTCAGCAGTAGCAGTGCTCGCAGCCCTCAACTCGGCTGCGTTATCATTTTCTACAACTTTCTGAACCGTAGGTGCCGAGTTGGCGAAGCATGGCTGGTTGCCCGGACTTGGGCTTGGGCGTGGATTGCTGCCAAAGTTGCGTGCTGGTTCGTGCTTTGTTTGGTGGACCTGAGCAGTGGGGGAGCGTGGGAGGTTGCCGGCGTCAGTTGCCAGTTGTTAACGTCAGCTGCCGAACACAAACGGCAGTTGCCAAAGTCAGTTGTCAGTCGCCGGAGACTGAGGGCACAGCTGCAATCCATGAGGAGGCGAGTAGAGGGGGGACGAGGCGGGGCTTTGGGTTGTTGGCTGGGCCAGGGGTGTTTGGCTTTGCAGGTACGGGAATGAATACGACAGTACGGCGCGTGGTTGCAAAGCGGCTACCGGCGATGTAACATGACGCCCACATCCCCGGTGTGCGGATCTACTTCGCCGGTAAGGTGCGGTATGCACGCGCATAACAACTGACCTGGGCAGGCCATGCGGTGAGGCGTGATACCGCTGCCTGCCTGCTGGCCTCGCAGGTCTCAGCTCGCTCCAATAGCTGCAAGCATTGAGGAAGATCAAGCTGCAAACGTGCAAAGTGGCTAACTTCATAGCTGTTGAGCAGTAGTAAAGAATAGGTACGCAGGGTACACTGCGGCCCCTAGAGGAAGGTGGATAGCTGGACTGCAGGTTACTCGCTAGAAATTAACTCGCGGATCACACCTGCTGAAACGTCAGGCTCGCAAGGTTAAGGGTGCCAAGTTGGCGGTGGCTGACGAAGAAAGGCGACAGGGTGAAGCACAGAGACGCACAGCGCATGCTCCGAAGTACTAGTTATGTATATATGCCGTGAAAGGATGTGCGGCAGGCCTCTCCCGATTTGTGTTGCTCTGCAGTCACCGAGCCCTGCTATACATGCATCGGTAAAAATCCGGTCGTACATCCACATCTTTGAGTTAGCCCCTATTATGCACATGAGTTACATAGATGCTGTCTTTACATCAGGATCATCGTGTTGATTCGATAGGACTGTGCCGGTGCCAGTTTCGCCGCGCCGCCGAGCTGCGATTGGAGGACCTTCAATTTGTGAGTTATTATGTGATTAATTATCATTCCCAAGCTAAGGAAACTGTTAGATGCAATAGTTTCAGTCAATCGTGTTCAATTACTTAGCCACCCTTCCGTTCTCGCCTGGCGTAGTGATCAACATTTGCCGTCATGCCCACATGCAGGAGCTTGTTCAGTCTCTAAACTCCCTGCGATGGCGCTCCAAAGACTCCGGGGTATGGGTGTAGGCCGGACGTCGGCGTCGGCACATCGTCGGGCAGTTTCGTGTAACGTCATCAATCACAGGACCCTGCAACATCAGACACAGAATTCCCAAGAGCCTCGCTCGTCTGTGGCATCGCAGCTGCTGGCCGCTGGGTTAGCCCTCGGCATCTCCCTCGCCGGTAGCCCCGTCGTGGCCGCACCGCAGTACGGCAGCCTGGCTGATATTGTGCGGAGCAGCTTTGAGTTTGTTGACGAAAACAAGGATGGCGTTGTCACGAAAGAGGAACTTCTTCGGACTTCAAAGGTGCGTGCCGACCTACATCCTACAGCTTTGGAGGGCAGCGCAGCGGCAACGACCCCTAAAGCTGAAAGCCTCTATAGCTGTAAGCCACAAGTACGGAAGACCTAAATTAACCCAATTGAGAACCCTAACTGAGCCTGTGCCTGTTGGGCAATTTGCCGGGTACTTTAATAGAGTTCATGGACCTGGCTCCATAGCCCAAGTCTTCCAGCCCAAAAAATGTTCGCGCCATGTCGCTTGACCCACATGGCCAATTTAGCAGCCATGCACAGATGTCTTTAATCGCGTTACTCCGACTTCAAATCTGGGGCTGTGTGGTCCTTTTTGGTTATCGTCACGGCCGGGGGTCCCCAAAGTAGCTTAGCGATTGATCCCATTCTCCTCCTCCATTCTCCTCTTCTATCACACCAGGCTGTTGCGGAGGATGTGGAGTTTATGCTGCCGGATGAGAGCCAATTGGAGTTCGCCATGAAGCTCTTTGACCTCAACCAGGTGGGAGGCGGTGCGATCTCAACAACGCGATCGGGGTTGGGGGGATGATCGCGACGTGTCGGGCGTGGGTTAGGAGGGGTTGAGAAAGGTGCGTGAACAAAGCACATATATGACGCACACATTACGGTGGCAACGTCTCATGCATGGATATACATGCATTCCTTGTGTGGCTGCATTTAACGACTGCTGCAACCTGCATGAGGGTGAGACCCATGCAGGTCCACAATGACCTTGCGTGGAGTGGCGGACATAGTAACTCAGGGGTCGTGTTCCCTCGCATGTTGCTACAAGTGACCCGCGGGTCCGTCATCGTTTTATTGTTGCAGGATGGTACCCTGGCGACGGATGAATTACTTGCATCCATTGCCCTGGACGGGGCGGTGGGGGATGACGCCATTGATGCGGATGTGGTCAAAGTGTTTGATCAGGACGGCGACGTGAGTTCCCACAACAGCAGTGTTGGTGCACCATCCTACCGCCGGCGGCGGCGGCTCCGGCTCGTACGATGGACTGTATTTAAGTGTCGTGTGTCTATCTACCATTTGTCTTCCTGCCTGCGTAAACCTGGTTTCCTTGCCTACCTGTCTATCTGTTTACATGCTGTTTTCAACCACCAGCCTACTACCACCTGCCTACGGAGCAGCATTGCCCGTCTGACACTCTGCACGGCTGAATGCCTGTCTGTCTGTCTGTCTGCAGTTTTTTCCGCTCTACCTGCCTGCCTGGCTTTTTGTATGATTGCCTGGCATGTTGTTGTTGTTGTCTACTTGCCTACCTGCCTGCCTACCTGCCTGCCTACCTGCCTACCTACCTACCTGCCTGCCTACCTACCTACCTACCTACCTACCTACCTACCCAGGGTTTTGTGTCCCTTCGGGAGTTCAAGTCCGGTGTACCCGCCCTGGGCCCCAACGGTGAGGCGGCCAAGGAGTATATCTTTAGTCGGGTGGACCAGATGGTGGACGGTGACAACCGCCTGGACACCCAGGTATGGCCGGGTGGGGCGGGTGCGGGAGTGATAACTGGGGGGGGGAGACGAACCTCAGACATTTAAAGGGGTCGTGTTCGTGGTGGGAGACTGCGTGGGGAGGTGGGAGATTGGGTGTAGGAGTAGGATGGGGCATTTGGGGCGGGTGGGGTTGGGTTCGGCGTTGGGTTGCTGAAGGCCCTGTACTGGGGTTTCGGAGCGGTTGATTTTAGGGAGGTTGGTGGATAAGGACAGGGTGTGTGAGTAGATCGATTGGGAATCTCACGTCACGACGAACACAACGCACGCACAAACATTTCGCCAGTGCTTGACTGTGATGACCGAGAGGCTTACCTACTGCCTGTCTTTCCCTTGCGGTGGACTGTGGATAATGTCTTGATGAATGCAGGAGTTTGCCAATGCCCTGACGCTGATGCGGACTGCCGTGCTGGGCTATTGAATGGTGTTTCTCTTTGGCTGGTCAAAACGGGTTTCGGAGGAGGGTATAGCTTGGATATCGTTGTGTGGGTTTGATTGACCGGGATGCTCTGGGTGGGACATAGTGGAATAGGGACTCGCCACGTTGGACGCGGGGGCGTGGCTGAGGGTGACAAGGTAGTTGGCGGCGCTGATGGTGCATGGAGGCGCGCTTCAAGGACATCTTTGTACTGGAACGGCATGAAACATTGAGGCTTTTTCGCTTATTTCGTTTTAGTATTGGTTCCTCGCCTTGCAATGCTAGGTTCATACCGCCCGCTCATGATGGATGAGGGCAAGCCCTGCAGAAGAACGGCCTACGGTATTGCACATACGAGTTGACAATGTGTAACGCGAGCATTGCAATGTGTCAGCTTTCGTTCCAATCAGAGATAATAAAATTTGGAGCTATTACGACATTGATTCCCGTCGGCAATTCTGTCGTCATGGAGAAGGATCTTTCCTTTTTATCACCCTACGCATGTTTTGCGGCAGGTTTCAACAATGCCAAAAATATCTGTACCTCTTGCCTATTTCAGTTCATAGATATTATTTCTTCACTGCACCCTTTCTGACCAATTACTCTTCCCTCGTTACAATCCATCTAAGTTGCGGACCCTGGCACAACCCTTGCAGTACGTTCTCATAGCATCAGCCCACGTGCGCTTCAACAAACCGCAAGTATCCACGGCCCACGTGCCCGCCAGTTACTAGGTTCCTCGGAAGAATTGGAAGTCTATTATTTTTACGTATCCTGTTCACTTACAGCATAGTTTATTAACCTCTTTACGCGCATGATCCGTGGCCGAGGACGTGGCCCGGGGCTCGAGGAAAGCAATTGGCAAACCGCGATAGGCCCGGCGATAACCCTTCCTGTGCCCGATTTCTTTTACCTTTACCGATAACTCCCTGTCGATTGAGTAGGAGTAAAGCACCCACTGTTCCCGTTAAGTGGCTTCAGCGCTGCGCAACCGCGCCGGGGTCGTCTTAGGCCATTGCTGCCTCCTTTGTTCCCCAAAGCTTGGCATTGTCGGTTTTTATTATGAAGTTCGCTCGGTTGCTTCGAACGACGGCGGAGGATCTGCCTGAGCTGCAGTGCCTTTTTCACATTTACAAGCACTTGAAAAAGCAGCTGAAGCAGCTACCAGCACGCGCGGATGGCAAATCCTTAGCCACAGAACGTCAGCAGATTAAGCAAAATGATCAGGGGCCAAAGGAACCTGCCGAGGAAACTGCCGGACAGGCTGGCATTGCCGAAGCCAGCGAGGAGGTTCGCTTCACAGCCGTCCTTACGGATCACCTGCAGCGCTTGAACGACCGCTTTTTGGAGCGAGAGGAAACCTGCGTCATCCAGCTGGAGCGGCTGGAGGCGGAGGCAGCGCAGTGCACCATTGCTGCGCGGGCTGCTGAGACAACAGCCAGGAACGGCAATGATGCAAGCGGCGAGATCGGCCCCAGCGGCATGCCCGCCGCGCTAAAAGCCATTGCCGAGCAGCGGGCGCAGCTCTATAAGCGCTTTGTCAATTTCCATGGTACGCGCAGATTGCCATGAAACCCCTAACAACCTATGCACCCCTATCGATGACATTATCCACTTCCCTTCCCTTCACCTCAAAGCCCAAACCGCTTTCCCCACTCCTCGCCGTCAAATAGAACATAATGGCCCATCGCGGTGGTTCCTCTTACTGAACTGATGCTCCATCTCCACCTCTCTTGCACCTCCAGGTGAGGTGTTGCTGCTGGTGCACTGGTCTGTCCTAGCCTACACCGCCACAGTGAAGATTCTAAAGAAACACCATAAACGAACGGGTTTGCTGCTGAGGGCCCCTCAGCTAGCTGACCTGCTGTCCCAGCCGTTTTGCTCTTCAGAGGTAAGCACACGCACACGGGGCGCTTCGTGGGTGGCACGCGAGTGCTGCCATGCACTCTCTCAAAGATGCATAATGATGTTCTCTCTTGGGAGCGAGCAGCAGGCGGGTGTTCAAACCCCAGCTGGGCCTTATTATGATCTGCGAAAGTTCTGTCCCGAAGTTCTGTCTGTTAGTTAGGGTCTTTCCCTCCCGCCGGGGGGAGTCTGCGGCCGGTGTGCTGGGCTCAGTTCACACACAGCTTCCGGATGGCGTGGGGGGTGTTTCGCGGGCGTGGAGAGAAGATGCGCGGTCGGGTCGCCCCGGGGCTGGCGACATGGTGACGTGGCGACATAGGGAAACATAATCGAGGGGGCACGAGGAGTCATCTCTTTGCTTCCTCGGGCTAAAACACACAACAAGCACAACTCACTTTTCATGACGGAGGCGACTGTATGGCTCCCTCCCTCCCTCGCTCCCCTCCCCTCCCTCCCACCAGTGCGGACCTGATGGAGGAGATCGCCACCGCTGCGTGACCCCCGCCGTGTGTGTACACCTTGCTTCCACTTTGCACCATTTCATTTCCATCATCACAACCACCACAACCACCATAACCAGCACTCCCCGGTGTATTCCCGGTGGGGGACTCCTGCATGCCGGCTCCTCTTTTCCCTTTTGGAAGTATCCCATCCCCCGACACATACATACACACACACACACACTTACATACATGCCCGGTGTCGCCAACCCACATCGCAATCCCTTTGGGAACATGTTCAGCTGATGACAGGGCTGGCTCGGAAAGCAGAGGTATGTATCCAGCGACTGTCGGAACAGCTAGCCACCACCGCCACATCCGGCGGCGGCGCCACAACGGTTGGCGACGCAGTTACGGGCGACGCGGCGGGCGGCGGCGGCGGCGGTGCTGCCGCCACCGGATCTGGCCGCTTTCCCCAGGATACAGTAGAGCAGGTGGCAGCCGCGGCGGCGGACGCTGCTGCTGCCGCCGCGGCGGCGGCGGCAACGTTGGGCGCCGGAGAGTCGTACGGCGTTGCGGACGGCTCGAGTCCGAGTTGCTCTCAGAGCATGGGCGATGTGCCTTTCCGGCGGCCGTGGGTCCTGGGGGGAGATACCCCCCCGGGGGGGGGCCTGGCGGTGGTGGAGCCAGCCGGGCCGTCACGGCAGCAGCAGCAGCAGCAGCAGCAGCAAGGGCAGTTCGATTTACTGGATGAGCAGCAGCAGCAGCCGCAGGAACTCGTGCCACGGCGGCAGCGGCAACATCAGCGCCAGCCTCAGCAGCAGCCTCAGCCGACCTCACCGCAGGTGGACAACGGCAACGGGGGGGAAGGTGGAGGCGGTGTAGGGGCTGTGGGAGGCGGCGGGGGGGGAGGAGGAGGAGGCAGCGCGACGTTCCTGCGCAACCTGGCCCGGCTCAGCGACAATGCGAGTGCCGCCAGTTTATCTGGGCCTTATGTTTTAGAGCAGCTGGTTGAGCTGCAGCAATACGTGGTAAGTCATGGGTTGATCAGGAGGAGGTCTGTGAACTGTATGTATGTTTGTGTGTGTTCAAATGGACTGCGTGTGTGTGTGTGTGTATTTGTGACCTGACGTGAGCGCGGCCTGGTCTTCTTCTCTCTCTGGCCGCCCGAACTGACCTTTCCGCCAGCCTGCCGTACAGGATGAGTACGACAAAATGGACGAAGACGACCCGGAGGATAAAATGGTTGTCGGGGATGATGATGACGATGATGATGACGAGGAGGAGGAGGAGGAAGAGGACAGCGGCGTGCCGGCTGCTGTTGGGCAAGGGCCGGTGGCGGCGGTACACGGCGACCGCAGCGGCGCCGCTGCCGCCGCGACGGGCCCCGCCGCCACCGGAGCTGGTGGATTGACGGCCGCCGCAGCTGCCGATGGCGCTGCAGGGTTGCGACAAGGGCCTGCAGTCGGCGGCGGCGGTGGCGGCGTCCTGCAGCCTCGCGCACAGCTGGATGCGGCCGCTGGAGACCACAACGCCGCCGCCGCCGCCGTGGAGAGATCCGTAGACCCGAAAAGGTACCCGAACTCGCATTCCCTTTCTCCGTCAGTGGTGGACGCACACGTGCAGCTGCAGTCGCAGTCAGCGGCAGCTGGGCTTGCACAGGGAGAGGGGCCATCTACAGCGGCAGCGGCGGCGGCAGCGGCGGCGGCAGGGTCAGGCTCCGCGTCTGGCTCAGGCCAAGGCTCTGCGCCAGAAGCGGCCGCCGTCGACGACGCGACGGTGGTAGCGGCGGCAGCGGCGACTCAGCCGTTGCTGCCGCCGCCGCGCGCTGGTGGCGCCGGCGTTGGCTGTGGTGGTGGTGGTGGTGGTTATGCTGTTGCCCCAGCTCCGGCGGCAGCAGATCTGCCGCCGCAGCCGCCACCGCCACCGCACTTGCCGCAGAGCAGCAGCGGCAGCGCTGGTGCGGCGGGCGGCGCTGGGAGCATCTCCGCGGCCATCAGCGAGGCCTTCGCGGGCGCCCGGGGTCAGCAGCCGGGAGCGGGAGCCGGGAACTTGCTCCGAAGGACGCAGGCACGTCTGTTGGTCTGTATGTCTGTTGGTCTGTATGTCTGTAGGTCTGTATGTCTGTTGGGAAATATATTATGTGTCTGGATTATGGACAATGAGAACCTACGATAGATTCGGGGTCATGATCCTGCTGCTGCTGCTGCTGCTGCTGTTGTTTTTGTTGTCGTGCGGGCAGTGGGGGTATGGGATGGTGTCCCTCGTGCCGGATCGGGGGGCGCTTTTCCGTCTGTCTAGAAGTCTTCACCGTTGCTAGTGTATCACGGGTTTTTCGGATTCGTGCATTTTCGTGCAATATTGAAGGGGATAAAACAACTGATAAAACAACTAACTTGTACTGCAGTAAAGCTAATATAGCCCATACAGATAACGGAATGTACAATAGGGACACTGCAGGGGGACGCGCAAGCCACCAGCTACAGTAACCTACAGCATATTTACTGAGCCCAAAACAGATCTCAGCTAACGTGTTGCGACTGGTGGCGGCCCTCATGTCGTACGGGCCGTACTGCTTTTGTCGTAGGTGGCACTGACTATGTGGGAGCATCTGAGGTCCAACGCCAGCACGCCCTCCACCGTCATAGACCCGGCGGGAGGAGCGCAGCTGGGGCACAGTCAGGGCCGCGGCGGCGGCTGTGCGCCAAGGGGCAAGCGGCGGCGGCTGCTGGGTGCGGTAGTACACGGCGGCGGCGGCGGCGCTGTCGTCGGGGTGGACGGGCAGCAGCAGCAGCAGCAGCAGCCGGAGCAGCAGGTGGAGGAGGAGGAGGAGGCGGAGGAGAGCGTTGCTGATGACAGTGGTAGCAACAGCGATTGAGGGGCGGTTGAGGGATCCGGATGCGGTCATCGGAAATAAATCTCCGCAGCATGTCTCCTCTTTGCGTCGTACGCACATGGTGGCCGTACAACATGGTGCCCATGTGGGTCAGTGGGCAGCAGTCAGTTGACGGTTGTCGGATACTATTCTGTTGGGGGCGAGGCCCCTACCTAACAATCCTAACTTCTAAAACACTCCATTCATGCTGTTTACTTGACTTCAAGCTAATGTCAACGCATGTTACCCCTGTGGTCGCAGTCCTTTTTCTAGGCCCGCGCCATTGTACAGCTGTGTACGGATGCTTCCGCCGCCATTGTCTGCTGCTGTTGCTGCTTCACGGCAGCGGTGGCGATTTATTAGATTCTTACGTCGGTGCCCTTGAACCGTTTTGCCATTTCCTTGCTTGGAACGGATATGCAACAATGTTCTTTGTAACCGCTTGGGCTGCGGTAAAATATAGTGACTGAGGAGCGACTGAGACAATTTTGTAATTTTTCCTCAAAAAAAGAGGACAGGACCGGACAGGGCAGGGCAGAAGGGTCTGAAGCAGCAGCGGCTGCAGCACTGGTCCAGGGGGGCAACACCAGCAACAGCAGTGTTTTTCCCTATGGTGTTGCCCCCCTGGTGTTCTGCTATCAGAAAAATACAGCTATCCGGCTTTTTGCGTTCTGTCTCCGTTGGCGTCTACGTTCTGGGAGGTAGGGAGGTAGGGAGGGAAATTTGAACGTATCGAGGGCACATATGGGAAGGGTTAGGTGTACGGCACTGAAGTCTACAATGCTGGGATGTGTACGGCACACGCCTCACTGGTCCACAGCCTCTGGCTAGGCAACTCTGCCTCACGGTAGACTGCAATTCATACACAGAGCCGCGCGAGAAACGCCACACTTCACAATTCCCCAACCATGCTACCTTTCGCCAGTTCACCTATGTAGAGGTTGCCAAAAAATGGTTAATTAATGCTATGCAGATAGACATAACCCCTACTCCTATTCGATGTAAATCTGCCTCTACGGTCATTTGCGATATACAACTGCCGCTACTTGGCTCCTATATATCAAATACACTGGCCAACCTACTCGCACACTCGCACGACTCTAGAATGCCAAATGAAAAGGAAACGCCAAATCTGAAGCTGGCACAGATTGCCCTTGCTTGCCTATCAGCTGGGCGACACTTGGCAACCTGATGGCCAAACCAACTAGTGCCGCAATTCACAACTGCAACACAACATGGCTATTGGAAAGGGCTCCAGGCTGTGAATGTCTTCCGCTGCCGCCCACCTCTCCCTCGACCATGATTAATACACCTCATCCAAGGACATCATCGCCCACGTTGCTGGTAAGAGCCGACCCAAAATACACTGCACAACACCGTTCGACCTTCAAGGTTGATTTCAAATTAAGGGAAATGTTTCCTCATATTTCCTTATCCCATCATCGCTTCCCTCTGGCTACCGGCTTGGCACGAATTAATTGCAACACAATGGCAGAAGCAGTACACTGACGCCGAGAACGATAGAACATTTCCCCATGCTCCTGCCCCTTGGTCGTGTACTGCTGTGCATTGCAAACAGCATGCAGCTGCATGTGGTGGCATTTGACTCGACAGTGGACAAGGCCAGTAGTCACATGTCATAACAACTTCAATCAACCACTAACTGCTATATATTGCAGCTGTATCACTACACATACATCACTACTACACGCGGTCATTTCCATTTCACCCCGCACAACTGTTTCGCTGTGATGATGCATCAGGTGCTGCTGTGCAGGTCTTGGTAGTTGCCACGCAGAATATACAACCGGGTGTTACCTGAACGCGGATACTTCTCCCCGGTGCCGGGCGGCCAGGCAGCCTCGCCATCTTTGCCCGCCTTGCGCTTCTTCGTTGATGCCCGCACCTTGAAGGTGTTGTAGACATCAGGGCTCACCACGAAGAAGAGGCTGGGTTTAGGGTTGTCGGGGATGCCCAGTTGCGCCAACTTCTTCTCAAGGTCAGCAGCGTTGATTTCCTTGGTTTCAGACACGGTTACCTGGAAAAGATACACCTCTGGCATCTTAACAGCGTCAATGACAGAGAAGTTGGAGGCCATGGGCCTGTAGTAAACATTCTCAACACTGCTCACGCTGCTGATGTTGTCTTTAAACCAGCAAACCTCTTTGCAGGGCTGGATGTCCAGCTTCTCCTCGTTGCCCCTCTTCAGAGTCTCCGGGTCCAATGGCACCACATCGAACTTGCCACCCGCCGCCAGTACAGCATGCATAACTGGCTCGTACAACAAACCCTTGAGCTCTTCATCGGACGTTTTCAGTAGCGATATCACATCCGTCTTCTCAAATTCCAATGCTCGTTTGACAAACTCACCAGCCGCCCAATTGCTGGCGAATCTGAGGCGCTGCTTCTTGAACGCGTCGTCAGCCACAATATGTAACAGCGGGTGGCTGGCCTCAGGTACCCTTTCGACAGCACCAATGGCCATTCGCACCTGATGGGAGAGGGACAAGAGAGGCATGCCAAACCGCAGGTGTGTTACATCTGAATGTTCAGGGAGGCGCAAGCCGCAGCCTCAGAGCTTGCCATTGAACAAGAGACATTGGCAGCAATATGGGCAAGGAGGACATAGGAGCTTAGCAGCTAAGTGATCTCTGCTGGATCGAAGGAAGGACAGCAACAATAACAATAACTCGAGCAGTGTCAGAGAAACCTAGGCAGCCAACTGAAACAGCATCAAGTTCGGTGTAGAGGACTAGCTACACTACATGCCTCACCTGTTTAACGGTGCAAGTATCAATCGCGGTGCGCAGCGACCTCAGCAACTCAAGCAACTCCCGGTCGGGTTTCAGCGACGGATGCTGCAGCACGTACCGTGCCATGCCGCCATAGTAACCGAAGAGGTCCTTCACGGTCACCTCCGTCACCATGTCGTACATCTTGCTGGGGGCATATAGTGGGGGGGGAAAGCGAGTGGCTGTACACCACTTATAAAGGCTTTACACATGGTCGACTTAAGTAATATCAACCCTGATTCGCTGTACTATTGCATAAATTTCAAGTTACAAACTCAAGTCTAAGAACGTTACGAAAGTACTTTCAGCATTAGTTGCAGCATGCACCACGTGAGCTAGCCCTCCTCCCCACTCGCCCCACACCCAGCACCTGCGGCAGTCAAGCAGCTCCTCGAGCTCCCAGAGAGGCATGTACAGCACGTTCGCGCCTTCTTTATCCATCTCCTGCAGCCCGAGGGAGGGAGGGAGGGAGGGAGGGAGAAGTACAATGAAGCACAGACGATTGCAAGGAAGGGCGACAGGCCTACGTTCTGGTCTTTCCTGGCCATCTAGTTCGTTAGGAACGGATACACTTAGGCAGCAACTAACGGACGAGTCCAGGACGCTGCATGTCGGGTGTGCGAAGTCAGCAATGGTACACCCTCTGATCACATCTCGGCCCAAGATGCTAACCTTCATCGTTGCATGCACGGGTGCGGTTAACAGCACCATGTGCGCCGCAGTGCTGGTGTCGGGCTGCACCCCATCTGCAAAGTACCTGACGGGATAAGGTAACGAGATGTCGAGGGACAAAATGGACCCAGTGAATCCAGGAGGTCCCAGGTATGTAGCAGCTGGGCAAGTGCAGAGCATGGCCTGTAAGCACATCATCCATCAGCTCCCTGTCACGGCAGCACTAAATTGCCTGCCACACATGCATGTAGGCATAGCTAGCTAGCTAGCTAGCCAGACAGCTAGCGAGCATGCATGTACATACATATGTACATGTATGTATATGTAAATGCGTATGTATATAAATGTATATGAATGTATGACTGAGATTACACTGTGGGCCGTGAGAGCCGAAGCCAAAACACCAATACAGAACACATCCGCTCTGCAGCACCTCCATCCGGGGGATGGTGCTGCAGTGAAAACACGATGGGCTCTCAGGTCCCGCTAGAGCTAGTCCACAAGCCCTCTACCCCCCCAAAAAATACAACCAACGACGAAGGGAACCCAAGGGAAGGAAAAAACGAAAAACGAAAGAAGTCGGCTAGGCCAGCCCGGGCAGGGGTGGGCTCCTGATACACCTAACAAGCCATTACAAACGTCGAAAAAAGAAAGGCTAAGAGCACTAGAAACCACAGGATGTCTTGCAGCCACCTTACGACAACTGACCTCCTCTGGGCTGGTCCAGGGGATAAGTAACCAACCAAAGAAAAGGGACCACGCACAAGCCTGATAAACAATGCAAGGGCTCGGGATAGACCAGCGAGACAACATACGGGATAACGCTGCCACAACACACAGCTCCTAGGCCCTCCAGGACACCGCAGGGGGAGGATAAATGTATGATGTATCAGTGTGCTGTGCTGCACCAGTAGAACCCACCAGGAATCACGATTGCGAAACTGCCGTCTGAAGGCTATGTTGTTGCCGACCCGGACCTCGCCTGTCTCATGCATGTAGCACCACTGTTGACCAGAAGGGGCAGAACAAGGAAACAAATGTAAACAGCTCCTACACCAGCACACCATACAGTACTACAGTACATGTGTAACCCACCAGTTTGTCACGGCTTGAGCGATGCTCCCAAAGGATATAGGGTGGTGGCAACGGGCTGTGCAGCAGCCGCATTAGCATGTAGTAGAAGAAGTAGCTCTTACCAATCCCAGGTGTCCCAGTAACTGCACCAGAAAACACAAGGGCAAGGGCAAGCATTGGACATCAAGCACGTGGAGTGAGTGATCGACAGCAGCAGAACAGACATAGCTTTACAGAGGGGCTCTGGTGCTTTGAAAAATGAAAAAACGAACCGCATTGATTGTTCTCAGAGAGTGCAGCAGGCTAGTACCAGCCATGAGCTCGTCAATTACATGTAACAAACATCAGCTGGCCCCAACCTGCACATATACATTGCAACCCACATGCATTAACAAGCCACAAATGATGATGTTGTGATCACCAGGTGAATTGGGTCCTAGCTGTATACACCAGTCGCACGGCAGGCAACAGCAGGGAACGACGTGAGCCTCACCAACATGCTTTCGATTCTCCGACGCGTAGATGACTGTGAAGAGGTTAGGATAGCATTTGCGCACGTAGAGCTGCCTCTTTCCCCCATGCAGGGGGAAAGACACGTCGCCGCTGCCCACGGTGAGCAGATCACCGGCACCCGGCACTGCCAGGGTACGCAATGTAGCAATAAAACGCGTGGCGTCCTCCTCCAAGGAAATCGCAGCAGAATGATCTGCGGATGTGGCTGCTTAGCATGCATGAAGTCGAAAGGCAGGCCAGGGGGCGTTCCAATTACCATAGGATTAGGCTAAGGGTTTCTCCCCGGTTATGATTACCAAGGAATCAGGCCCCCTTAAATGTCATGCACCCAAAAGGGCGAACAAGAGGCAGGATACATAGCTAGATGGGCGCTCTGAGCCTTCTTTGCGTGCAGGTAGATAGGCAGGCCAGAGCCACAACACTGCCAAATCTGTTAGCGCTTCACTATCTACTGTAAGGAAATGGGGATAGAAAGCATCCAGCTCCAAGAAGTTAACGTAAAAATGAGGCGAACTCACCAGAGCTGGGACCCCGTGGCGGGGCAGCAGTTGCCGCACCTGTACATCAAAGAGGAAAAAAGAGGGTGCATTACGCAGTTAGGTCATTTGTCAAGACATAACAGGGGTATGCTCTTTTGGCAAAGGAACACACAGCTGACCAACGGTTCAGAAGACCGTGCATGGTATGCAGTGTAGCGAAGAAGCGCGTGACATTCTCGTCCAGAACCACTGCGCCGTTCAACCCGGAAAATACCCTAAAAATGTAATATGACTAAAAAGAGACAGCATATGTGCATGTACCAAGGAAATATAACCCCTGCGTTTGTTTTTCCCCCAGCAAAATGATTTGCACTTCACGCAGGTGCAGCTGTCTGGGTGTACCTCCCCTCCAAGAGGAAGGAAAGGCGTCAGCTGTGTGTCACTCACCCATACACTACAACAATCGAATAACAAGCGTTGTTCCTACGTACAGCGGGTGTTTCTATCGCGAACACAAACAAGCAAACAGCGGTGCTCGTCGGGAGCCCAGTCACAGGCCCAGCCGCAGCGAAATGACGAACCCGAGAAACTCCCAACCCAGTCTAGGAATGCCACAAGCAGCTAAGTTTGCCGATGCATGCCTGTTTCGATTGCCTCCTTCAGGGCGTTGTGTTGCCGGAGGTTAACAGGGTGTTTCCATTTGGCCGCACACTAACTTTTGAACATTATCTTTAATGTGGACTTAGTGTGTGGCTATTGAACAGGTGTTTCCACTAAGCGCCCCGGAACCATACGACAGGTTGCTATTAAGGCACCAAACCATTGTTATAGTAAGAGTGGGTGTAATTTAATGCGCAAATCATTACAATTTGGTCGGCTGATAGCTGGAATGTGGGAATTCGACCGGTCCTGCTCGGAATTCCACAGGTCAATGGGCTATTTGCGACAATGGATAAAGGAAATAGAAAAGTCAACGTAGGGCCTTGAGGAGGGAAAATGGCTGACTATGAATTTTCCCGCTCGGAAGTTAATGTCCAGTTTGAAAGTTATCAGCAGGTCTGAGGCCCTGATAACTAGTGTGCCACTAATGCGGACTTAGTGTCCGAAGCGTTTCCACTGGGCCCTTCGGCTTTTCGCGTACGGAGCCCCTTTTACGCGATTTTTTAGAGAACTTTTACTTTCTATTAATGTATTTAACTGTTTTCTTATCGCCTGGGTGATTCGCTGAGCCAGGTGTGAGAGTTTTTGAGCTTAATGTTAGTGTGCGGCCAAGTGGAAACACCCTGTAAGTTGCGCTCGCAGGTCATTTACGTCGAGACGACGAAATGCGCCTCCTGCCTCAGCGCTCACATCGTAACCCTCCCTTTCAAGAACTTCGAGTATGGGAGCAATCGAGGCCTCAGTCTCTCCGTCGACTGCAGCGATCGCATCGCGTACAGTCGGCATTAGAGCAGAAGTTCTGCGAGGCTACACCACAGCGGTTCCTATGGCATGTCTCAGCGGGCTGACCCTGCTAGCGCAAAAGCTCGTCCGCTCTCAATAGCAACGCTTAAACAAAGTGAAGAGAAAAGGCTGGGGTTGTTTCTGCGGTTAGCTGTAAATTCAATTGTTTGGATTGTGAAGGCGCACACCTGAGGAGCTGTGTTGTGAAGATATGCATTTTGGGTAGTACGACACACGAAGCCCTCTATGGTTTCCGGAACCGACACGAGTAAGCACTTGCGACTGCGCAACGCGCTGGCACACCGCGGCCTTTCGCCAAAAAAATTACATACACTTGTACACGCGCATTTTGAGAATCGCACGCGCGCACCCGCGCGGTAAAATTCGCTCCTGGCTTTTGGGGCTTCTTGTACGGACCGTTTATTCGGCACAGTACGACCGGACACGATTGTGCGAGAGGCTGCTTAATGAAGACGCGCATTCACATAGACACAAACACAGGAGCTGTTATCTGTCCCACTGGGTCTTTCACAGAGCTAGTCTTACATGCACAACGAGCTTGCAACCGTCATTCACGCTGAGATTCCGTTAGGTCGTCAAAGCGACACTTACAGTCGCTCCACGACCCGTGCTCTTGCGCGTGGCTAGGGTTGATGTTCTCACACACAGACGAGAACAGATCCCCCACGTCCAGACCGCCGTCACGACCGCCGCGGGTTCCGCCCGGCAAAGTATCTCCTCGCCTCGACAGAGCCCACATCCCGGGCACTGAAAACATAAGTACGAAAACTGCCCCTAGGTAGGTAAGAGCAGTCACACGAGCCGCGGTACCCTCCATCGCTGTGGGAATCGAACCCACAACAGCCACCAGGTGTCGGATGAAAATAAGTTCATCCTATCCAGGCCCAGCACATCCTTCACCGCCGCCAACTTCATGCACATCACCCCCGCAATGCCTGTACGTCTGGCGCAACCCCAACCGTGTGTGGGGCCCTTCCTTTGACAGCACCGCCGGGCCCATGTTGTGTACACATCCTAAAACGTTTGCAAGCTGTGGCAGATCTCACCCTCAGCAGTAGCAGTAGCAACAATGCTTGCAATGAAATACCTACCTTCCGCGACCAGCACCTGCTCTTCGAGGACGACCTGCACAACGGGGAAGGGAGAGGGGAAAAGCAAAAGCGAGCTCATGCGCTTGCAACCATTAATTTCTAATCCCGTCGAATCCTGCTGGTGCATATTCTGCCATTGGGGTCAGCCGTTTGCTGCCGGTGAGGGTCGTGAGAGGAGTCGCTAGCGACGAGTACCCTTGGATGAGCTTGTGGAAGTAGTTCGCAAGGCCCAAGAAAACGGCATCGATTTTTCGGGGATCCAACTTAAGTCTATCGTGACCAATGATGTGGCCTAGGAAGTTGACTTGGGGCTTGTTCATCTCGCACTCTTCACGCTTTGCACAGAAACACGCCCCTTTGAGGGATTCGAGTACGGCACATGTGCTCGAGGTGGCTGGTCGGATCTTTCCTGAAGATAAAAAGGATATCGTCCAGTAACCAGCGTCGATGTGCTCTTTGAGCACGGTGTTCATGACTTACCGGACATTCGTCAACCCGAAGCACAGCACTTTTTACTGGAACGTTCAGAAGGGTGCTATGAAGCCGGTTTTGGGACGTGGTGCGGATTTGATGGTAGCCGCTTTGTAGGTCGAGGGACGAGAACATACTCGCACCCTGGAGTTTGTTAAGGAGGTTGGTGATGTTTGGAAGTGGATACCGGTTTTTATGATGTGATTTTGTTAAGAGTGCTAAAGTCAAGGCACATGGGAAGCGAGTCGTCCTCCTTTTGTGAGGACGGGTGCATCGAACGGTGACTTCGATTCTTCGATGAAGCCTTTGGCCAACAAGTCAGAGAGCTGCTTTTTGGGCGGGGCCTCAGGGGAAGCGCCCAGGGGGGCCCCCACCCTGTAGGATTGCCCATGTGTGTGTGTGTGTGTGTGTGTGTGTGTGTGTGTGTGTGTGTGTGTGTGTGTGTGTGTGTGTGTGTGTGTGTGTGTGTGTGTGTGTGTGTGTGTGTGTGTGTGTAACGGACCAAACGTATTATCTCGCCCGGCTCAAACGCGTCATTGGTTGGTATGTTGGAAATGTAACGGCTGCTGTACGAATTACTTACAGCAGTTCGCATCCTGGTTCCGGAGCGTCGCTTGTACTCTGGGTCAGTTAAAAACATGTGTGGTCAGTTAAAATCATGAGTCTTTATGAAATGTTCTTTTGTTTGTTCAAGGAAGTTGTCACTTAGCCGGGGCTTTTGTAGGGCTCAGGTTGTCCCGTAAGGGTGAGATGCCGCCAACCGGAACCACTGACGACTCCGGCGTGCCACTCTTAGAAAATGGAGAACTCCCACTTCCTAAGGGAACTTGGAAGCGCGAGCTGCGGTTTATATTTATGATGTGTATAACAGGGGGGTGTATCTTCGCCCGTGGCAGCTACCCTGCGAAACCCTGCCTTCCCCGGTATTTCGGGGCACCCTCATCCAGTCACCCTAGTCAACTTCTCAGTGGATCGCTCAGGTTCCGCACCCACCACCAGCATCCAACAGAATCTGCCGGGTCGACAGCGGCCCAACTCCGTTCCTGGTCGGCTCGCAGGTTAACTTTATCCCAGGTCACCACCGTCCATCAACGAGGGGCGCAATGCCTTCCACCATATTTATGTTGGCGCTGCCATGCATCGTCACGACTTGCAGTTCTCAGGTAAGCGAACAGCGAAGATAACCATCCTCCTGTATCAGACTTAGAAACGAATTTCATGAAATGTGTACGACGGCATTTCTTATGGTCGATACGTTCGGAGTTCTTGTGGTAGTCGCGCAAGCACGTGCGGTGCAGTCGAAAGCCCATATAGCTAATGTTCCTTTGAATGTTCCCCCAGACTATGGTTGTCACAGACCAGGTTTTGGTTGGACACCTTGTGCTATGAGCATTCCGTTAATTACGGTAATGACTAACATATCCTGATTACTGTTACTTGTGATGCATAGGCGGAACAACTCCTGCCGTACTATCGTACGTCGTACCCCAACAAGGGTATATCCTTCCTCTGGTTAGTTCCGTCTAGGCGGACATTTGGTTGTCAAGAACCAAGTAGCCAATTCACATTGTATAATCGTTTCCGCTTCGTATTATTCGTATCTCGATCCGACTACTCGTTACACCTTGGGTGACCCAGCTTGCGGCAACACGGTGCGGTCCTGCACGGAACGGTTAGCTAGTTAGCTCTCGCGCATCGTCTCTATCTCCTGTGAAGTCTAGTAATGTTTTACATTCCAGACTTCTCAAATGAGGTAAGTTAAATGCTGAGTACGCTTAGCCCAGGAGTACGCTTAGCCCAGGAGTACGCTTACCCCAGGGGTAACTCTTTGGCGATGGTCGCCAGAACGTAACCATCACCGTGAATAGGAGAACCGTGCTCTACCGCACTAACCCTCAACCTGCTATTTCCCGCCATCTCCTTTTTCCCATCCTCCCAGGGACCTGATGTGGTTCTATCTTTTCGGGTGTTCCACTGCGCTCGATACGCTGGGCAGCCAAGCGTACGGTAATGACTGGTGGTTTCGGGGCGGTGGTGTCGGAGTTCTTCTGGGAAATCTAGCAGCGCTTCTGCTATGTTCTAGAATCCATATAAAAATCCGAAATTATACGGTACGACAGAATTAGACCCGTTCCCGAAACCAGAAATACCCCGTTTGCCGATGCCTGTTGTAGTCTCAGAGCTCTCAGCAGGAAAAGTTAGTTTTCTGGCCGGTTAGTTCGGTAGTTGGGTCGGTTCGGAGTCAAGATGCTGGTCGTTGGATCCTGGATTCCACCTGACCACGATTTTGATTCGCACTTCCTGGGTCCTAATAACCATAACATTACTAAGCCGCGGATGGGCCCTCACACATAATTTTCAACGTTAGGGCCGCATCGTGCTCTCAACCATTCACGTGTTACCACCCGTGTCTCATCTCAACCCACTTTCCCCCTCCCCCAAAACCCAAGTTCCGATAATCGGGTTTGATCGGCGTCACCATCGAATCCTTTTCGATGTCAGCTGGCGCATCTTACATGCTCCTTTCGAAGCATGTCAGCCCCGCCCTGATGGGGGCGGTCTTGGGAGCGGTGGCAGCGGCGGCGATGGAACAATGAACAAAACAGCGCCGGGCCATGTATCCTCAAGACGGTCAAGGGTGGTGAGTACACGTGAGTGCTGTGCGGGCAAATATGGATCGTGGGCATGGCGGGCCCGATACATACACTACAGTTTTTCTTAACCAACTCCCAACCTTGTTTTCGTTTACCTTTATTTGCATCTTAATCTGTACGGATATCCTCAAGGACACACGAACACACGCATAGACATGCGGCCCTTATTCTCCCATATTGCACCTGTACCCGGCTCTCCCTCCGCCGATTTGGTTGCTTTCCACGCCTCATGATTCCCCCTCTTGGCGCCATTCGGACGTCCGGCTTCAGGTCGCAGCCATACTGCTGGACGGCCATAATCTAGAGTTTTACCGTTGGCCAGCTGGCGATGTGAACGAGCTCTTGGAGCGAGTCCACAAGACCATCAACATGGTGGCAGAGGGCTGGAGCCATGCATGATGCGAGGGTGCACTGCCCGGATGAGACAGAGGCGAGCTTCAAGTATTGGGGAGTGCTGTTGCGCTGCATCACTGCCACCTAGTGAACCGAGGGAAGGGAGGGAGGAAGGGAAAAGGGGGAATGCTTTAAAAGGGGTGGAGTTTGGTGAAAAGGTGAGAGCTTTGGACTGTTGTGAGAAGGTGTATGGCGCTGCGTACCTTGAGCTGGATACAGGGACGGTTACGTGTGCACTGGGGTCGTTTGTGCACACGCCTCCATTTAGGCTGTGCGGCCAGATGAAATCGGTAGGTGTCTCTGCTTGCATACAACCAGACCACTCGTGAACGGGTGAGCTGTGGGTGACACCACTGCTTTGCTGCTAAGGCGGCTCCTGCTGCTCCGTCACTCGTCATCATACAACGTTGCCCATGGCCAGCGCGCATCATATGCCCACACCAAGGAGGGGTGCATATGGCGACGGTTTAAGAGGCACATAGGGGCAGTGATTTTTTTTCATTTAGGGCGGGTCTCAATTTATTCCAACCTAAGTAACAAAGTTGCTAGGGTCGCCGTAATTTATTCCGTACGTGTGGGGCCTGTTTATTCCTTTTAAGGAATATATTACTTAAAAAAACTGTGTAGGGGCCCGCAGGGTAGGGGACATGGGTTACTAATCATGATACATTACTTGAGTGATGGCTGCTTGATGCGCCGCAGCCGGCCAAGGGTCCGCCCAATTATCTTCATACGGACGAAAGGTTTCCTCAGTTTTCACGGACGGGAGGTTTCCTCAGTTTTCACGGACGGGAGGTTTCCTCAGTTTTCACGGACGGGAGGTTTCCTCAGTTTTCACGGACGGGAGGTTTCCTCAGTTTTCACGGACGGGAGGTTTCCTCAGTTTTCACGGACGGGAGGTTTCCTTGACGTGCTGCGTTTTCTGCTTATGGGCGGTTCTATGGATGGAAGGATTTCCGGTGTTTGGCACCTGCTGGTATGGCTCTGGTGCATGGCGCAATCCTGTCGTGTGCAATGTGAGCAGCGTATAATGGGCTGATGTGCGGTGTTTCCTTTTCTCCGTGGCTTTTAGGCGTTGTAGTATTGCCCTTGGGCCTTCGGCTCGTATGGGTAGTCTTACAGGTATGGGGTCACGCACCCCCCAACCATGTAACACACACACATGTGCTTTAGTAAAAGTTACGGTTAGCCACATGTGACATGGAAACTGCAGCCTGACTGCCGGCTCAAGACCTGGAATCGTGACGATGATTGGAATCGTGCACTGCCAAGTGAGCACGCAAACTCATCTTTTTGTGCGCTCCCCGGTGGGGTTAGGGAGCATGCAATAAAGCCGAATCTAAACTAAATAGAATTCCTATAACAGGGAATATAATTCCTTCAACTGGAGGACGCGCTGGAGGAGCAATAGCGGCGTTAGCGAAGCAGGCTGGGGTAGTGGTATTGGAATCTCTGGGGTCTGAAAGGGGTTATATTTTAGCGAGGGCTCACGTGTGCCCCTCGTGCGCGCGTCCAGGCTTAGGCACCTGGCATCAGCGTGGGGGGGGATAATGAAAGAAGCCCAAACGACCCGTCCAATATGTCGACTGTCACCTTGACGTTCATCGTGTTTCTTAGCTTCGTCGTCTCGACGGGCTACTTTTGCTGCTCTTGAGGCTTCAGCAAGGTCGGTTTTACAGCCCGCATTCCCATTCAGCGTATCGGTCCTTAAGTTGCCTCTCGTCCGCGTCAAACGACTTCGTCCTGTCCAATATGATCGGCCTGATCGGTCCAAGATGGAGCGGTACACTCCGCCCTGCGTGAGGATGAGACGACGCGGACGTGCGGCTGGTGTCATGCGGCATTGCGCGCGGTACGGCGCGGTACGAATGGAGGAAGGAGGATGGAACGTGTGGGGTCCGGTGGACATCGGATATTCCCTGGCCTTTTCTTCAGTGGCTTACCTGCTTGGCTTTTTAGGTGCTTACTTCGTTGTCATCCTTCAGGGGCGGGGTACGAGCAAACCTCTAAAACTCATCACAGATCAGCGAACAAGACGAATCGGACGTGACTAGGGGAGACAAGCAGATTCAGAGGGCGCGCAGAAGAAAAGAAGAAAGGACAAGAAGAGGAGGAGGAAGGTAAGGGAAAAGGAAAGGTACGGAAATCACGCTGGAAAATAGATTCCCCAGCCACTTGGCTCATAAGCTCTACCCTATATATCAGGAGGTTCCACTTCAAAGGAATATGTTCCCTTTTGGTTGCTCTGTACCGCAACATCGCGACCGTGACCAACCGCATCCCGTATCGTGCGCAATCGAACACCGGCTCCACCGGTGTTCGCAGATTGCCCCTTCACATCCTTCACACCCAACCCACCCAACCCACCATCCGGTTACAAAAAGCATCATGAAGTGTAAAACAATTCAATACACACATCAGTAATGTACGGCGGTAACCTCCCATTTCTTAAATTCATTCACCCGAATATCCGCAGAGACAGAGGGTTCAGCATTCGCCACCAATCCAGCGTGCGAATCTGGTCCATCTCCTGTGACCGCAACTCCACATCTCAGCAGCTAGCCATAATCTCACGCTCCCGACAAAGTCGGGGATCTCCCCAGGAATCAAATCCAGGACCTTGACCCGCTAATTGCAGTAGTGTCAACCAGACCATATATATCTATACACACATACACATATACACGTTGGGTGTGTATATCGGCGGTCTCACACCCACCCACCCGTAGCTAGCCCCGAAACCACGGAGAGACGCCCTGAGTCTCAGGGAGCGCTCGGGACCTCACAGGTGCACCCTAACGACCTTAACAACCCCAACAGAACAGCGATGACAACCCCCACAACCGCAACCGCCGCAAACACCGTGGATCCCTGGGCGCTAAATGAGGATGGCAGCGCGCGCGACCCTGCGGCATTTTGTACTGCGCTTCTAGGGGGTGATGCGGAACGTCTGAAGGGCTTGGAGGCCCAGTTCCCCGAGTTCGTGAACCTGCTGCGAGGGGACGACCTGGGGGGTCTTCAGGACATTTTGAAACGTGCGATGCAGGTGCGTGTCTATGTATGTATGTATGTATGTATGTATGTATGTATGTATGTATGTATGTATGTATGTATGTATGTATGTATGTATGTATGTATGTATGTATGTATGTATGTATGTATGTATGTATGTATGTATGTATGTATGTATGTATGTATGTATGTATGTATGTATGTATGTATGTATGTATGCATGTACACAGTATCAAGTCACACACTCAACCAGTTGGGGGGCGGCAGTTGGGGGCTCTCTTCACTATCGCTACAGATCACAACCCGGTGGCGCCACCGCCGGCGCCGCGACAGTGACTAATTCATTTTTACCCCTATGTCATATCCCGACAACGTCGCCCGCCTCCATGGCACCTGTGGGGGGTCACATCTTCCCCAGCTTTTAATACCTCTTTCCCTTCCCCACTTCTTAGCAATATATACCAAGAGAGCTGAGGGGCCCCACTTCGGGGACACTTTCCTTCTCCCAAGCGTCCTTCCGCTGATCTGTACGGCATCCTGATCCCTCCACCACCGGCCGAAAAGTATTGCTAGTAGGGATGTGAGATTCAGCTGAATGGGGATTTGGCAACCTTAATTACGTAAGCTTAAAAGCGTAATATAGTAAATTACTGTAATTTACGGTTTCCACGGCCTGGACCCTGGACCCTTAATTTAAGGTTGCCGTACTAGTGTACGATTTTGGATTTTCAGCACAATTTCAGCGTTTTCACATTCGCAACACCATTCTTTACTTATTTACATATTTTTGACATCAGTTTGGCGCTTGTACAGCCGACTTGGCGACTATCGCCTTTCCAATTTGAACCATGGCTGACGCGGGCACGACCCCCGGCACCGGCGCGTATGGCGGCGTTGATACTGCAACACCACCTGCTCTTAAGGACCAGCAGCAGCATATGAAAAGGGCACCACGCTGCTCGCGTACGCTTTGCCCCCTCGCAACGGGGATTTCGTTAAGCATTGAAAGCCGTGCATACATACTCGACCACGACACCTAATACCGTTGCAAACCAGGACTACTTGTCGTGTTGACTACTTGACTTGCTCTTTTGCTTGGTTGGGCGGAGGGAATCGCGGGTTTCAACCTGCATTGTTGGACTCTTTCACGCTTCCCCCATGGCTGGGTTTGTGGTGTGTTCGGAGGAGTGGACGGGTCAGCGGCACCCTGGTTTGCAGACCGGCGGAACCCGTAAGACCCATGGGTCTGTTAAGCTTTTAAGGTTTCTACCCCTCCTGAGGGACCTTATTACGGCGAGCCCTTAATTTTGTAAATTACGGCCAGGTCCAATCTTAATTTCGTAATTACGTAACCTTAATTCCTTAAAACGTAAAAACGTAAAACGTGAATTCCCATCCCTAATTGCTAGTGTGAAAACGCCATTTTCCTTGGTTCCACGCCGTGTGTGCTCGATGGCGCTGTCCAAACGGCTTTATAGGCGGAGAGGGCGCGCATGGAGCGCATGGCTCAGCGGTGGCCAGAGCGGAGCATCGACGCGCAGAGGGCGTCTGCACCGGTGCCCAGGTATGTATGTATATGTTTACGTGTGTCTGTGTGTTCGAGTGTTTGGTTCGTGTGGACGAAGGTGTGGTGTTGGTGGTGATGGTGGTGGTGGTGGTGGGGCGGTGTGTGTGTATATGCGGTACTGCTTATGTGTGCATGTGTGTTAACGATCTGAGCCGCGCTGAGTCAAGTGCATATTTGTGTACGGGCAGATGTGGCTTGCTGTTCGGGGGAGGGGGGTTGATGAGAGGATGAGGAGACACAGGAGCAATTTGATACACAAAAAGAACAAGCCTCCCACCAAAGCTCCCCTTGTTTGGGGCGCAATTCATGGAGGGATGGATGAGTGATCTGCTGGCCTTTAGGGTGGAAGGGGTTGTTTAAAAATTTACCCTGGACGGATGAAAACTCATCATCCAATTTGCATCAGCAAAATCATCTTCAAATCCCCAAAAAAACAATCACCAGATTCTCACGTACACACTTGCACAGGGGGGTGTAAGCTATTTTCAAACAGATCTAATCCCGGTCGGTCACACATAGATGCGAGATCCACGTTGGAAAATAAACACCGTGTCCTGTCCTGTCCTGTCCTGTCCGGCATTGCCATGACGCCGCCTTTACCCGCTTGGGCCCGCCTGTTCAACTTCCCCTGGGCTCTGGACTGCTGTTAGCCTCGTCGTACATTGTCGTACCGTCAGGATTTACGTTACGTGGGTAGCAACATGACGCACTCACTTACATACAGATACGCACACAGAGAGATGCGAAACAGACACGCAAACCATCACACGGTTGAGGTGCTTGCTCTCGTTGTCTTGGATGCCGTACAGGGATACCGTACAAGTGTACAAGCAGCTGGCGGAGGCTGGCCTCGAGTACGGACCTGCATTCCGGCTGCTGCGTAACGTGCATGTGCCGCTACAGCCCGACAAGTAAAGCTGGAGCAGTAGCTGTCGCAGCTGCCCGGTCACCTCAGCTTCTGGCGACAAAGGGCCTGTTGGCGTTGGAGGACTGTGATAAAAACCCGAGGCACTCGAGACGGATCCTCGATGCCTGATTAGGCAATCGGAAGAGATTGGAATGAGGGGTGCGCAACTAGAGGGAATCGAAGGAGAGGGAGGGAGGGAGGGAGGGGGGATTATGGAAAAGACGGATTGAGAGCCTGTCCGGTAGAGGGACTGGTAGGTAGGTAGCTAGGGAAGTAGGTAGATAGGTAGGTGTATAGATAGATAATAAAGCAACCGGAAGAAGGCGGCCTCCATTCCGCTGGTTTATTCTTGTTTGTCATCGGGTTTTGAAGGGTCCTACATTCCGTACACCTTGCGTTTCCTGGAAGACTATTTGGTTTTGTCGGTTTGTTGGAGGTTGGAAAGTCAATAATGGGATCGGCAGAGCGGCCGCTGCATCCAAACTTCTAAGGCTTCGCGGCGTGGTTGGAGCAAATCGGATGACCGGTTAATCGGTTGCTTCCAAAAGGGATGATATATTGAATCGATACGAATCAACTCCGTGCAGCCCGCTTCCATGCAGCCCTGACTCCATAACTCTTTAGTTGAATTGATAAAAATCAAAGCCCGGTGTAAACCCAAATGCTTTGTAAAGGCAAAAAAAAATAAACGGACGGTTCGTCGGATTCTGTGTTGGATTCAGTTCGCATGTGCATCCGTACGTCCGTATGCGTCCGTACCTCCGTACTAGTACTAAAAGTCGCATAATCCGGCCGTATCGAAATCTTTCCTTGTCCATCACACCGCAGTCCACCTTACACTCCAACCGTAGTAGCCGCAAACGCAATGTAACGCATACTTTTGCCTCCCTCTTCCTGCTCCCCCTCTTCCTGCTCCCCCTCTTCCTGCTCCCCCTCTTCCTGCTCCCCCTCTTCCTGCTCCCCCTCTTCCTGCTCCCCCTCTTCCTGCTCCCCCTCTTCCTGCTCCCCCTCTTCCTGCTCCCTCTCCTCCTGCTCCCCCTCTTCCTGCTCCCCCTCCTCCTGCTCCCTTTCTTCCTGCTCCCCCTCCTCCTGCTCCCCTTCTTCCTGCTCCTACTCTTAGCGCATTCAAAGGATCGCACCCAGAGCTTCTGGTGAGCAGAAAGGGCCATAAGTTCAGCAGCAGCTCGGAGTAAAGATCGAGGCGCCCGGACCTTCTGCACATTCGTCAGCTCTGCACCGTTTTTCCTAGAGGTCCCTAGGGGCGTCCTGTTCAATACCACCACCTTGCAATGCCGCCGCGCTGTGTACGCCACCCTCGGCCCACGTCATACCCTCTTCCCCTCCCCCCCAAACTCCCCAACATTTTCGTAGTCCTGACCATCTACCTGTCCTTTCCTACTACCTGTCCATATTAACCAGCTGGGCTGCTCGCAGCCAACCTTTACATACCCCTTCCCCTCCCCCCTCCCCCGCCCCCGCCCCCAGCCCCTCCCCCGGCCCCTCCCCCTTCCTCTCCCCCCTCCCCCTTCCTCTCCCCCCTCCCCTTTCCTCTCCCCCCTCCCCCTTCCTCTCCGCCTTCCTTTCTCGTCTATCTGATCCGGGCGGTGGTGCATCTGGAGCAGGCTCAATCCGCGGTTCCACAAGGTCTCAGTTCGTTCTAGTCATGTTTGTCTGTGTGTACGTTCTGTTGGCGGACGCGTGTACACACGGTGTGAAATGGCGCATCAGAGGAGAGGGACTTCGAGAGGACCACCTCCTTCTTCCTGTATCGAAACTCCGCGGCCTCCAGCCTTACCACCTTACCCGCATAAGCAAAGAATTACGAGAAGAGGAGAAACCAACATCACATCCCACTGCGATGCCGCCCACCCCCCCACAACACACCTTTTCGCGTGTCTTAATAGGCAGCCGTCCCCCCTCTGGTCCAGCCAATGCGAGCTGATGAGTTCAGCCAGTACTGCGTCCAAAACGTAATCCCCGCCATCCCATCCCGCACAACCCGCCCCACACACCTAGCCACCCAGCCCCCCTTCCGTCCCTCCCCCCCGTTCGTGTCCAATGCGCATTATTTGCCGTACACAACGCGAATCATCTTTTGACATTGTACGGTAACCGATAGCAGTACTCTTAGTTGCAGTACTGTAGCTGTAGTGGCAGTACTCGACAAAACCTCATCCGCCTAGCAGTAGCGGCTTTCCCCACGACGTCGATGTAGCAGTAGCCTTTTCCTCGGGCGTCTTCTTCAAGATGTTCATCATTCCTTGTACGGCACCCCCTAACGCCGCCACCGCTACGGGCCAAGGCTGATGAACGCGTGCATACATACACACACAGACAACAGATGTACTGCACAGACACACGACGGCGCTGGCGAAGAGGAAGCGAGGCAAAAAACAACACCAAGAGCGGCAGCCTCCATGCTGACGACTTCACTGCCTCCAACCCCCATAGCCACCAGTTCGCCCTGCCTTCGTCGCTAGGAGGGGAAGGAGGAGGGGAGGGGAAGGAGGAGGGGAAGGAGAAGGAGGAGCCCCCCTACGTGCCTGAGGGCTGGGAGGCAAGCCAGGGAGGGCACTCCTGTAAAGTTCTTCCCTCCGAGCTGCCACAGCCTTCTTTCTGACCGTCTTCTTTGCCTCCCTCCCCCGCCGGCCCTCCTAATCCGCCCGCCAGCCTACCCGTACGTCTGTTCGCCTGCCTGTCTGTCTGCCTGTCTGTACATCTGTCTTGCTATCGGCCAGGCGCAGACTGACGCTAAGATGTGTGCGGAGAGGTGCTCATCCCAGGTGCCATCCTCTACACCTTTCCCACTCCCCCCGCCCTTCGCGTAACCAAACTACGTCCAATCTATAAGTGCATCCAGCCATAACGAACAGGCCCTGCACGCATACATACAGACGTACATATGTATACGCTGCGAAGTGCCGCATACGGCAAGCCGTCTTTCGCCTTTCCAGCGGACATTCCGAACATCGCCACATTATTACCCCCTTTTGTCTGTCAGTATATATGTACTTACTGCGCGGACGCGCCTTGCGTTTTGCGTCACTCAGCCGCCCCCTCCAAGCACGGATACCAATACCTGTCAGCCTAATGGAGGGTAGGACTTGGTAACAGTCGTCGTCATCGCCCTCGTCGTCGTCGTCGCAGTAGAGTAGTAGTAGATTATTGGGATGAAGAAAAGAAAGAGAGAAAAAAAGAAAGAGAACAGAAAGAGAACACTACACATCGCCACACCGACAAGATAACTCGCGGCGGTCAGGGGGTGGTGTTGTCCAACCACATCGTCGGTCCTTGTCTTCATCCTTCAGATTCCCACCGAAGCAAATGCTGCGGTTGCGGTTACGAATGCGCGGTTGCCTAAATCGATGTGCGCTTCTTCGGAGCGTAAAGGTGTGCACCTGTTTCGTAGTGCTGAGGAGGAGGACGAGGTCAAGACCTTCCTCCGAACATACAGTTAGTCCGCTTCACATAACCACCCTAACCACCATCTACATAAACGTAACCCCCGAGCCCCCACAAACACATTCCATCACCTCGTGGTTTCTACACACCCATTCATTGCTTTCCACATACACACATACCTACTTACATACATAACCACACCACACCACACCACACCAACGCCAACGTCAAGTGCCCTCTAAATTGCGCTCTAAGGAACACACACAGAATGCTTTGCACAGAAAATCGAGCTATGCCACGCAGCTACACGCGCACAGACACGCAGACAAATGCACGTCCGACCACCTGCCGGGACACCGCGGGATCCCCCCAACCCCCACCCACCCCACACACAATCCACCCACGAGTCGCGGGTAGCTGCCTGGCCCTTACAAGCCATACAACACCCTAGAGGTCTAGCGGCCCTTACTTGACGCTCCGAAACCACATCAGAACACACCACAAAGCCTCTATCACACTTTTTTGCGTTGAAACACGCAGTCCACACACATTCCCCCTTGAGCTGACTTGCCACCACATCACATGCATTACGCTGCACATTGACGCCGCAAGAGACCCATCACGGGACTCTTGAGAGAACTGTACAGCGCGCACACCGCAAAGCAGAAAAAAAGCAAAAAAAAAATTGCGACAACGACAACGATAACAACAAAAATCCCAAGCATGCTGCTTCCTCACTGCGCTGGTCAAAGGCCAGCGCAAGGTAACCACACGAGCACATACGTACGTACATACATGCACGCACACACAATTACATACATACACGAGCACATACGTACATACATGCGCCCCCGCCTGTTCATCCGTCCATGCAGCACCACCCATGGTTCTCTGCGTGTGTAGTGTCGAGTTCCGCACTACCGCCAAAATTCGTTGACGTTGAATGCACCACGCAAACCCCGTCGCCATTCATTCATACATACATACATTCATTCATTGGGATTTCGTTACAAACATACAAACATACAGCCTTCCAACATACCGCCTTCAACATTACTGTTGCAACATACACCGCTTTGCTAGTTTGCTACAGCCGCTATGCTACTGCTCCTCCTCCTCCTCCTCTCCCTTCCTCCTCCACAGCTGCTACAGCTGCAGCTGCTGCCACTACGACGGCTCTCGTGGCCACTCTGCGGCGCCCGCAGTAGCAGCATCAGCAGCAGTAGCCGCTGCCGGCACCGCCGCTGTCCGGAGCCCCCCCTCTACCCCTACCATGTATTACTACTCGCTCCCCTCGCCCTTCTTGCACACACCCGGCTCAAACCAGGACCGCCCCCTCCCCCGCCCCCTCACGTAACTGCCTCTCCTCCTCCGCCTGCTCCTCCCCCCTCGCCGCACACGCTTGAGCCCCCTCCCTCTCCCCCTCCCTTTCCCCTTCCGCCAACCCATCCCTTGGCTGCAAAACCCCCTCCCCCTCCCCCTCCTCCACTTCCGCCAGCAAGGCCTGCAGTCTCCGCAGCACCTCCCCACTGCTGGGACGCTCCTCGGGGCGCTGCGCCCAGCAGTCCCGGATCAGGTCCCTCAGCGCGGGGGGACACAGCGGGCTGCCCACGTCCGGGAGACGGGGGCGGTCGCCAACAACTGCCACCTTGAAACCCACCACGGCTGTACGAACACCGCTCCAGGGGTGTTGGCGGGTCACCATCTCGTTAATCATGACGCCAAGGCTGTGTGCAGGGGTGTGGGGGGGGAGGGTGAGTCCGTGGGGTCGGAAGGGCGTGGGTTGGGGTGGGGGGGGTTTGCGTGCGAGCGGAGTGTGGGATGCGCGCGTGTTTGGAGTTGGAGAGGGAAATACAGGATGGGGTCGTGCAGAAGCAAGGCGTGTCAACAACCCTTTCAAAACACGTACACAGATACACCGACAAGCACACAACGCATCTCCTTTCCCACTTACTCAGTCATTTCGAAACGCATTCACATACATACATACATACATACATACATACATACATACATACATGCGGCTACCCAGTCACTCAGTCCCTCCCGTTCCCGTACATTACCTGTACACGTCACATGCGGCCGTGACCTTGAAGTCGTTACTCACGAAGCACTGAGGGGTTTGGAGGGGTGAGTGTGCAGGGGGGAGTGTGCAGGGGTGAGTGTGGAGGGGCGCGGGGGGCGGGAGTAGGATCAGAGGTCGGGACGGTAGAAGGGTCGAGAATTACGCGGCGGAGGTACGGCGGAGGTACGGCGGAGGTACGAGGGTGATTGTGACAATGATGATACTGAGTTGCCAAGGGATAGACCGGATAGGCGGAGGTACGGCGGAGTTCGGTGGCGGCTGGAAGGGACCTTCCTGGCAGGCGTGTAAAGAGGGACCTGTTGGGACAAATTGCGGCGTTCGTGTGCAGCGGACATCATCAGCATACATACGTGCATACATGCATACATACATCCGTACGAACGTGCACATGCATTCATCCCCCGGCATTGTTGGTCTCCATCCGCATCCCCTCTCGTCTTCGGACGTACCTCCGGCGACATGTAACATGTCTATGCGCGCGTGCGCGTGTGTGTGTGTATGTACGGCGCCAGGGAACGCGTCGGGACATCAGACGACGAAGTGCGGCGACGTCCGCACGCGGGCCCATGACCAGCCAGCCACAACGAAGGTGCGCGTAGGTATGTATGTATGTGTGTACGTATGTGGGATGGTGAGAGGGGTGAAAGGCGGGAGAGGAGGGGAAGTACGGTCAGTTCGGTCAGTTCGCGGATGGAAGGACCCCAAAAA